GCACTACTGAATTAGTACATTTCGTTATATACCATCCATACGAAATATAGGTACTGATAATAATTACTGCTAACAGATTTACCCCGAGAATGTACTCCATATTGACGACAATATTCCTCAGGGGCGGACGTATCTTCTAAACGCGCTACTCAATACAACACATGGCCCTAACCCCATAACTCTGTAGCTCACAACATTCTATAAAGTTAGTAGTGACTATTAACAAGTAGAATGTCTATTTGAGATGTAGAGAACACATTTATTAGTGATTCGACACAAAATACAAAATCAACGGTACTGGAAACCACTCTCTTCAGCAACGAATCCCACGAGGTCACTGGGACTACAGATTATCTAAAAAAGAAAACAAGGGTTCACAGGATGTATACATGAATATGACTACCAATATAATATTAACGAGATAGCACAGTAAGAATTAATGAAAGTTTATATCGATGTGCAATTACATCAGTCACTATTTTTGACACAAGTGAATATTTAGACGAAGTAATAAGAAGACGTAATTTGTCTGAGTCGTGTAGTGTTGTATTTGTGCAACACATTTTGGACAATGTGGTCACGCATGGACTTGTTATAGGAATACATATGAGATTAATACAGTTAAAAGTCTAGAAAATAAATTTAGGTGGAATTAAAACCACATATTGGAGGTCAAAATAACAATGAAGATCACTAAACCAAATATCAGAGGTACTAGTACATCTACCCTGAATAGTATCAAAACGAAGTTTAACAAAGAAGGTTTCGTGTGATGACGAATAGTCTTGGAATTCACAAAAGTGGTTTAAACTTCCTAATCAAACTTCGGCTTCCACAAACTTTAGGATGCAATCCAAACACGTTTTACAGATAGGTTTAAAAAATGTGCAAACGTCAGTTTTATGTCCTGTCCCTATAATATGTTTCGAAATAGAGGAGCTGGGACCCCATTAATAACTTCTGAAGATTCTGTTGCTTCTGGAGGCATTTAGGAATATGATGCGTAGCCCTTACTTGCAGAAGTCGATGAGCCTTCCCTAAATGGATACAGCAACCACTTCTAAACCTTACGTCCATAGCTTTAAGAGATGTCGGACACTACTTCTACGTGGTTTTAAAATAATTTTGTGAATTAACTTCGAACAAGCGCGAATAATGTGGCGTCAGGACAATAACAAAAATCGGAAGTTTATGAAACCAAACTCACTAATAGGACAAAGTGACGCACACCACTGATGTCTTTACGCACCTGATCACGAGGATGGTATTGAAATCCACCAAATTACTCAAATGTTTCCGTGTGCATTTAAATCATTTAAAAATTTTGGCAGAAAACACTGAATGTTGTAAGTGATCGTAAAACATATTACAGGTTCTTCCCATTTGTGAACAATGACTTTCGCTTGTATATATGCATTCCATTGACTTTCAGCTACCAATACCACACAAAAGTGCGGAAGGATGCTAAATTTGATATCAACCATATTCCTTGGTTCCTGCAGCAGTAAAAGGTACTGCACAAATGCTGATAAGGAAATTTGAGACCGAGTACAAGTTTCCGCCAATCTGCAAAGAAATTTATCGAATGACAGTCGTTGAAATGTACGCGAAGCTTACTCGGCATGCCAAAAATCACTGCATGAACCATGTATTTAAGCGTCCTGTCACACAAGGAATAAGTAAATGCTCGAGAACAATATCGAACAATAATTTTCATATAAATTTATCCAACAAGAGCAAAATAAGCACCGAAATCGCGTCTACTGCGTTTGCTGGACGACTAGCTCCAACTCGAATCAACGAAACCGCGCAAATGCCGTCAAGGTTAAGCCAAAGGCGCCACTTCAAATAGGGGATATGCCTTATCAACGCCCCTGTTTCACTGTGTGATATATTCAACAAACAAGTTATTGAATAACGAAGTATAAGTAAATAGTATCATTGATAATGCATGTAATGATAATTTTTTCATTCTTTGCAGTACAGTTACTGATTTAAAAAGTTTATAAGTTCTTTTCAAATATCTGATTCTTCACACAAAATTCGCGCTAAATATGGTATGACAGTAATTATATTTAGTTGTACGAGCGTACATTCTTAAGAACTTCGTGGCGAGCAATAGCAAAGAAATGAGAGTTTTATATGTTACAGCGAAAAGTAACGCACTGATCGAAAAGCGCCCTGAGGAAACCATCAAGTGACATCACTAGACAAGCCATTGCTCGAGTGGAGCCCGAAAAGGAAGCGGCGAGTCGGTCGTCAGTGCAACGGTGACTTGGAGGAGGTCATGCGAGGAGGAGATGAAAGCATGTGGGCAGGCTTGGAGTGGGGTGAAAAATTTGTCAGAAAACAGAAGGCAATGGAGGTGCGCAGCTGAAACCCTATGTTCCTCTAGGAACTAAAGGATAAAATAATAATATACATTCTTAAGAAGTTTCTTCCTCTTTCGCCCAAAGATATACAAGGCGAAAGTTGAAAATGAAGAGGATGTTCAGCGTCAGACTGGATAACTTTAGCCAGGCACCTGCAAGAATTGAAGTACCTAGTGACACTAATGTCATTTAGTGTCAGTCAGAACTTGTAGTGAAGAAGGGGGGTGGCGCCAGCTGATCAGTAGATATAGTGGCAGTCACTGAGGTGAATCGCGCCATCCCGCAGCAACAGTAATATTCAATTTGACAGATCGAGATTTTCATGATTTTTATGAGGGCTTAGATCGTTATGTTGAAAAAGATAATAATGAATGTCTAGACGGATCATACTTCTGCCTTTAAACATATACCATTTGCTCGGCCTATTGTTGAGATGCGACCACGTGGGCTCCGCACAGATTTATGGGGCATCTTATAAATTAGCTTGCTTTCCATTGTCGAATCTACGAATACCATTTTACTTGAGTAGCATAAGTATTTGAACTTCTGCAAACAGACTTTATTTGCCCAATTTTATCACATTTATGGCACTTAGCACCCCAAAAACGGCAAGTGATTCGTAGATGAATCTTTCCACAGGAAAAACGCGTTTGACGTTTTCCCTTTCTTTATGCATTCTGTTACATCTAGATGAAAGTTTGGATTTCTTTCTATGACTACTTGTATCATTAACTTTGGATAGCATGACAAGATACTTACGTAATGGGAGCTGGGCATTTACTGTTGACATCTTCATATGTAATACATAAATCCTTGGCAGTTGGAAGGGTGCATGAGGGAAACTGAATCAACTCTTTCTCTAAACTAGGAATATTGATTCCAGTAATTAGACGATTACGTAATTGAGTATGGAGCTGACCTACAAAGTTGCACTTTGAAGCTTGTATCTAAAGGTGGAGAATAAAGCCTCTAATCTTCTGGTTGGGAGCAAGAGCAAGTTTGCTGAGCTGGTCCCACTCTCATGTTTCGAAAGTTGTTATGTGGAAGTAATTTGTGAGAAGTTCACGGAGTATACCATAGGACAGAGAAATTTGTTTATCTGGAAATTACAAAGTTTTAACTAGGCTATACGCATTCGACCCAACAGCAGTAATAAAATGACCTAAAATTTCGTCATCACGAGCATTCTTCGACGTGCACCATGCGTCTAAGCATTCAAGATAATCGGCGATTTCCCGCGGCGAACCATTCATAGGAAACTTTCGAAGATTATTTAATTCCATAGAGACGCCAAACTGTTATGATTACCTGTAATGGTAGTAGTCGTATTTATTATTTTTGATTACAGCTTGATTCCACACTGTATTATTGGTACAAGTGTGGAATTTTCAGCATGGATGTCGGTAGCCCAAGTTTTGCAGGCCGACCATAGATATCAGGTGTGCGTCGGCAGGGGATCGAACCTCGGACCGTGTGCATGGTCGGCGAGAGTCCTAACCACTATGCCACCGACACATAAAGAATTCAACCAACAACACAGAGAGGGATGGGCTAAGGAGTTTGTATTTGGCGGAATTATTTTAATTCATATAGTAAATAGATTAGCAAACAACAGCAAGTATTTAAACAATACAGAGATAGAAACTGTCAACTACCACAATTTTCTGCCATACAAGTGAAATGATTCCCCTCGTGGATCAAGTGATAAGCACAGAAGATAATATCAAGGCTAGGTCTGCAGAAATGTATCGGGGTATAATTACCAAAGGGGGTTTGTGAACAACAGATTACAATCACAGCGTATCAAAGTTTATTGTCACAAGTGGCAACCTGAAGACAAAGTTTAGTTAGGATGTATAACTCACTGACTAACTACAGAGACAATAATTCGTCACTAACCCATCGATTGAATTAAACAGTGGCGTTTTTTAGAATAAGGAAGTTTCCAAAATGTGGTAAATTAGCAGAAGTTCTGCAGGACAGCGGAAAGGGATGCAATATTTTCAAAAACTTATATTTACACGCTAACTACGTTAGAAACTGTATTCGTAAAAGGTGTAAATAAGCAGACATTGGCTTTAACGTAGAACAAACAGGATATGATGACAAAGAGAAATCTTTTACTCAGGAAGCCCATATCAAACCAAATTTGCCTTCTGCGCGCACGTTAGTGAAATTACAGCAACACCTAAGACTGGACAAAGGGGTTACGACAGAATATCTAGATTATAACATTTATGGTGTTAGTGCCTATACTGTACAATAATATATCTACGGAGTTGGAAATTATTCGTCAAGGATAAAGGCTGCTAAATATTCTAAATACAAATATAAATGATAACAGCAAATTAGCAACTGTTGCCTATAAATTCTTAGGTTATCATTGCATCTTACTAACCCAGATACAGTAAATCATTCTTTCCGGATTCGATGAACTCATATAGGTACTAATCTATTGTCTACAAAGTCCAAGTAATCCATTGGTCAAGGTTTTTGTTTAAGTTGGGCATCGCGAAAATAGCGCGCTTACCAGATATTCCTATTTGCGGTGTGTTCCGCACATTAACCAGTTTGCGTGTTATTTGTGAATCCCCTGGGACTTAATTCACCACTTTTTCTGATTGTCTCATGGAATTATACTCACAGCTTAATCGTGCGCAGCTTAGTTACGACTATCTTCACACCAACTCGTAATTTCATTTCGTAATTTTTAAGTTTTATTTTAGGACCACCCATGAGTTTCTGTTTGGTGCAATCGCGGAACTTATTGATAATGCTCGTGATGCTGGTGCGACAGAGCTGGACATATATACAAGTTAGTCTTGACTGCTTTCTCGTAACATGCTTGCAGTTAAGGACAGTTCCGTACGTGGGAATTTCCTACTTTGTTTTGCGGACAATGGTTGCGGCATGACAACAGGTTAGTGTCACTGTATACTGGTTTATGTTAAGATGAGGTAAAAAATGTCATAATATTCGGGAAGTCACTAAAGAAGTGTGAGGACAGTGCCGCCATAGGTATGTATGGGAATGGCTTAAAATCGTAGGTTTTGTATTACTAGTTATCTACTGTCTTTAAAGTGGTTCTATGCGAATTGGAAAGGACTTGATTTTGTTCACCAAAAAGGATGGAATATACACATGTTTATTTCTTTCAAGGACTTTTCATGAAGAGGAGAAACTTGATGAGGTGCAACTCGAATTATTCTAATACGCATTTCTCTTTTAAGGTAGTTGTTCCTATGCCCTCGTTTAAAGGCACAGAGAAAACTCCTATTGCGGAGACTCCTGAAGAGAAGAAGAAAGTAAGTTTGCTTTGCGCTTCATAGTCTTGTAGCATGAACTCGAAATGTTTATAATTCTGAAGTATTCGCCATTCCGCTGCATGAAGGATTTCTTCGCACAATTTGATAAACTTAAAGAGAATTCAGGGACCGTAGTGATTATTTACAATATGAAACTTCTCGATCACGGAGGACCTGAGTTGGATGTAACTACAAATACCAGAGATATACTTCTTAGCCCTGGTTCAGAACAAGAAGAGACCGTTGAACCGGATGCAGAAGTTATGTAAGTGAAATAAATTTCTGTTTTTAATCTGGAATCCCTAGTCAGAATTACCCCAAGCATTGATATTTTTAGTATCTTGGTGTCATTATATGGCTCACTCATTTTTGAGGATTAGAATTGGACAACTAATCACCTGTCAATTATTTGACTAGACGGAAAGACTTGTTTGAGTCTGGCGTTGGTTAGGAATAAAACGTCATAACGGGTGACTACATTCTGTAGTCACAGTTACAAACTCGTACTAGGAAGAGTTCTCGATTCTCATCAGGTTGCTTCCTTTTGATCAGCTATATCATCGTTTATTCAAAAGATAGTACCTTCAACGTAGGGGATGGTAAGTGATTAGCTTTGACGGTTAATGTGAACTAAAATCATTGGAGGGACTTTGACTAGGTAAAACTCATAAATTGCTAAACACAGAATTTGTCTCAATTGATTTGTCTCTCAAACGTACTTAGCTTTCACTTGTAAACTGCCTAACTGAAATTCCATGCAGTTGATAATATGCTACACCTATTGTGTAAAGACCAGTGGTACTACTTGAGTGGGGTGGGGTTCAAACTGGTGGTTGTGCTCCAGACTATATTAGACTAAACTGATATAATTCAATGTGAAGGATGTAGTTATTGTGGTTTATTGGTTAAGATTATTGTCATTTGCTTAACTAAAAGCCTTATTTATATTACGTTCAACTAACCTACTCAGTTTCTCTAAGCCGAAGCGATAGAGGTCAGTGTTATAAAACTGTACGAATTTCTAAAGATCAAGGGCTAAATAAATATTTCTTTTGAGCTCGATTTATCCGATGAACAAGTAGTAGTTGTAATTTTATCATTTGGTACTGATCGAATAATTCGAGAATTTACCCCTGTTTCTTACTCCAAGTGACCAAGATCTTAACATATATCCATCGTTAATAGCGTTATTCTATTGAATTAGTTTAGACAGACTAAAAGTGATAATTTTTCTGAATTTACCTCACCTCTTTTTGTATTCTCAGAGGGTAAGTCTTCTGTTTGGTACGCTTTGGGCACATTTTACTTTTTTTTCTTTCAAATCACGGTAAATGTTTAGCTTTTCCCCTACTGCAGTTCATCTATTTGTTGTGTAAATTTTTACATCAGTACTTCTCGATAGGGGTGCATTTTTGTCATACTAATGATATTATGTAAATGGAACGAGACTAAGGCAAATAATTATCCACACCGATAAGTAACCCTTAGTTTTAGTTGGTTGATGTTTCATGAGTGCATAGTATGGTCTCAGATACACCTGTAATTGAACAGTGAGGTTGTAATCAGTATCGCCTTTAAGAAATCTCAATGATACCTTTTTAAAACTGAGCGTATTGTAAATATTTGTGTTCCTTTCCACCGTTAAAGACGGTAACCAGTATGAACAAAATCTAAGCATTCATACTAACTTCTGTTCAGCATCATTTGCGATTTCTGTCCAACTTTCTATTCGGTTCTAACTGAATGCCTGCTGAGCAAGGCTCAATGCTGAACTGCAACGAAAACTGGCAATGATTTTGTTGGAAGTCCATTACAGTGGAGTATTTCCCCTTACTCAGCTTTACAGCATACCACAATCTACTTCTCTGTTAACCCCCTGTGCTGTCACAGTTCATTCTTTATTATTCATCCTAGTTTTCTTTTTCGGAATGTAAGCTGATACATACTCATTACCTCAACATATCTTTAATTAGTTCACTTAGGGAGAAATATTACTATAATTGATGTCAAGTGGTAATATTCCTACCCCTGTCATTATTGTTATCCTAAACACAATAATAGAGGTTCGGGAATGTAGAAAAGGGTATCAGTCAACGTAGAAACGGTGTGAATACAAATTAGAAAAACATCCATTATATTCCCAAAACATCTGTTCGTAGTATACCCTTTTACCAACGGAGATGGATAATCTCTAAGGAAGGTATTGACCAGAGAAACGACTATCAGCTGTCAACCGAAGGGTTCCCAAAAATTCACATTGTGCTAAACTATGCGTTTTCCCTGCTCAGTTTTATTAGGTTGGATTGGAAATTAGTTTCTCTTTACTATGTTTTTCTCCAAAACTTCATATTCCCTTTCAGGTTTAAGAGATTTCTTTAATGTGTAGAGTCTGTTCGGGTTGTTGTGTTTTTGTTTACTTAGTTTTAGAATTAATAACAGTTACTTTATTTAACTCGTCTATGGTTCAGAGGTAGAAAGCTCGTCCGGGTTCGACTCCCGGCCGATGCACAATTAAGTCCCACTTAGTTTATTAGCCGATAGTAAGTTCGGATAAAAGGAGAGGTTGGCGGTGAGGCTACTAACTCTACCCCCTAAGTTCACGGTTAATAAGACTCTGAAGCTTTGAGCTTGAAACTGTATGTTCCACTCGGAGTGCGAAAGAATGCTATGTATTTAACTCATTAAAAATAGTCTATAAGATTCTGGAGAATCGTTGACTAGGTTGAGCACACCAGTCCACACTTGTTTGTATGACTTTCATTGTCTATCGGACTGATCACTTTGATGTGAAGCTTAAGATGGTGTACTGTTGACTAGAATATTTTACTGGTTATGTTTGCATTTATATGGTTGATATTTGCCAGTCCTTCTGACAGCATAGAAACTTTTAATTCACGACTATAACCTTATTGGCTTTTCTGTTAAACGCCAATAAGAACGAAGACTGGCCAGATTATGTGGTTCCCCGCTGGTTGTTTCCGGTAACCTAACACCAGCAACATAAGGAGGGTGTAGTTAACTTCTTACTGGAATATTCAGCTATGGGATTGTGTTCAGAATGGTTCATGACAAAGTTTCGCACATAATGATGATCATAGCAATAGAAATTGAACAGCCATTTTTAGAACCAATTTCTGCGTTAATTGTAACCCTTCTGCTGAGTGTTTTTGTCAGTTTGCAAAGTTTTGAACATAGCTATCCTGATATATATACTGAACTAATCAACAACGTGCTAATCCTAACATTGATTATCAAACTTTACACACTACGTTTGTGCTGCGCTATTCCTCCGCTTACTAGTCACTTTTGATTGAGTAATTAGTTTATTTACAATGATGTGCACCTCTCTTTTGCATTGGTTTTTTTTATTGAATTCACTCTTATTTTAACAATGTGATTCGAAAATTAACTGACGAACAGTTACCCTACAATTTGTGGAGAATATTCCGCTTTTTCATCATTTTTAGGCTCCCTCCTGAAAGGCGCAGTCTTCGGGCATATGTATCAATCCTCTATTCTGACCCTCGTATGAAGGTGTATTTACAAGGTCGGAAAGTACAAACCAAAAGATTACTTGCAACGCTGCATAGTACTCGAAAATACAATTTTGCCAGTAAGACCTTTCGTACCAGAGCTGAAGCAGATTTAGCTAAAGCTAAAAATGATGTGAGAATAGGTAAGTGTTATCTTTTGCTTCAAATATACTCCAAAATTACTCTATTATTGCCTTTTGACAAAATGCCTATTCAGGATACTATTGTTTAATTCATTCTAAGCTCAGTTACCCGAAACAGATTATGCATCAAGCTAAAGCCATACTTATATTTTAAGGGCTGGTTTTATATTCCCTCGCGTTTCCAGTGGAACATAGGGCTTCAAGCTTGAGATCAAAGTTCCAGTAGCACTAGCGTTTATCCTAACGCCCAATCTTCCTTCTTTACCGAGCCTACTGCCGACTACACGAGGTTGAAGAGTGCATGGACTAGGGATCGAACTACGAATCACGTACCTAGTTTGCAAGTATTATACCACTAAACCGCCAGCGTACAATTTTTCTGAATTACCAAGATAGTTTTTATTCAGTACCTGTGATGTTGCTTCAGCAAATAGCTGTGGGAGCTTCCCGGGTAAAACCATCTTCAGCAGTAATATACAAAAATTGCTTGAGATATGATGATGCCAATTGGCTGAAGCCTCAGTATGTTAGATGGGCTTCAAAAGTGTATGCATCCATTTGGAACTTAGTTACTCTGATCAGATTTTTCATATGCCAGTCTATGAGCCACACTTATTGTGTGATAATAACCAAGTTGCCTAGGCTAAAGTCAACTAAGGTGAAGTGAAACCTATTGGTTGAAAGTTTATTGGTGCGACCAGTGAGCGTACTCCATTATTACAATGGTTGTTTCGATGCTTCTGAACTAATCATCTGTTTGGATATACGTAAAAGTATTGATTTACCAGTAAGTTCAGTAGTTATCTTACCAGAATTATAGTAAATTGCATTATTTGTTATGTATCATGAGTAGGGTGATAACCTTACAAATAAATTTTGCCAAAGTTTAATCCACCTACACTAAAATGAGTAGGTTCACTAATTATAGTGGTCCTCAGGACACTTTTTTATTTATTAGTATATATCCTTGATATGATGATCATTGATTATTGTTTTTACTCTTATTTTAAGCTGAGCTTCGTGCTCAAGAGGCAGAAAGCAAGGCTCGCGATTGTGAACTTCGCTACCAAGGCTCCGAAGACCCTGAACATTTGGTGGGTTATTTTGTCATCATGCGATATATATATATATATATATATATATATATATATATGAATTTGCATTTGGTTGTATACCAGCTAAGGTTAGTTAACACAATCACTAGTTCTGAAAAAAATTTAACCAATACACTACAATCATCAGGAAGCCTTGGATCGACCTAGGTTTCGTGAATCGCGAATTCAGCATCTTGTGGAATGGTGCAGATGGAAATTCAGTCAGATATTTCGAAATCAACAGAAAGATTAACCAGCAAACAAAGTGCTTCCAAATCGAAAAACGAAGACAATTCTTCGTTGACAGGGTTACCTGGATTGCTTTACATAGGCAAAATGGGTAGATTAAGTCTGCGTCAGATCACAGTGTTTATTGAGGATTTATGCTGTGAAGAAGCGCGTTGGTGTCTAAGCGTAATAACTTGTGGTGGTGTAGAAAGGCGAAGAAGAATACACTTATCTTATGCTTCAGTTGTATTAGCTATGTTTTATTTGTCTAATTCAGGCAGTCTGTCTACAGTTCAGTTATTTGAGGCTTAATACCATTGTAATACTCTCTGACGCAGTGGAATCCCTCGGTATGATTTATGACTTATATGGCGGGCGTTTCAACTGTTGCTCTTTACAATCTTTCAAATCGTTTCTCTTGCAACAACTGAACTGCAATAGAGTGGTTACAAACTATACACTTAATGTCTGACAATTCTCATAGTGTAGCTTCACAACACAAGGCAAGATGGGTAAGTTCAGTTGATGAGTTTTTAAAGCTACACTATGAGAATTGTCAGACATTAAGTGTATAGTTTGTAACCACTCTATTGCAGTTCAGTTGTTGCAAGAGAAACGATTTGAAAGATTGTAAAGAGCAACAGTTGAAACGCCCGCCATATAAGTCATAAATCATACCGAGGGATTCCACTGCGTCAGAGAGTATTACAATGGTATTAAGCCTCAAATAACTGAACTGTAGACAGACTGCCTGAATTAGACAAATAAAACATAGCTAATACAATTGAAGCATAAGATAAGTGTATTCTTCTTCGCCTTTCTACACCACCACAAGTTATTACGCTTAGACACCAACGCGCTTCTTCACAGCATAAATCCTCAATAAACACTGTGATCTGACGCAGACTTAATCTACCCATTTTGCCTATGTAAAGCAATCCAGGTAACCCTGTCAACGAAGAATTGTCTTCGTTTTTCGATTTGGAAGCACTTTGTTTGCTGGTTAATCTTTCTGTTGATTTCGAAATATCTGACTGAATTTCCATCTGCACCATTCCCACAAGATGCTGAATTCGCGATTCACGAAACCTAGGTCGATCCAAGGCTTCCTGATGATTGTAGTGTATTGGTTAAAGTTTTTTCAGAACTAGTGATTGTGTTAACTACGTAAATGTGTCTGCCGGCTAAATTTTCTTTTTTTTAAAAGTTTGTAGACTTCAACTATGAAATATGATCATCGTCATTATTTTTCTCACGTTATTTCCTTTCAGCGTCAAATACGTCGTCTTCGAAATGCTGCTGCTGAGCTACGTTCAGCTGTGGAAATGAAACAAAATATTGTTGCAAGAAAATCAAAATCAATCAAGGATCCTAAGACGCTTACATTTTATTTCGGTGTAAATGTTATGAATCGTGCTTGTGATGGTATGTTTGTCTATAATTGTTCTCGTTTAATCAAAATGTACCAACGGATTGGGCCACAACAAGATTCTAGTATGATGTGCCGTGGTGTAGTTGGAATTGTTGATGTACCCTATATGGTCCTTGGTGAGTTATATATACATACATAATTCGACGTACATTTATTATAAGGGTTTTTTTTAACTGAAAATACAGTGTGTTTCACACAGGTATAAGTGTTGTAACGGGAGGAGAAGGTAATAGACTTGGTAATGGATCCTTATAAAGGAAAAATATTTTTACATTCCTAAACACATTGAAGGTTGTCTAGGTCAGAGGAGAATAAATTGCTCTAATTGGGTGGCTATTGACCCAAGGTTAAACCAGCTAGCTGTCCAGATTTGAAAAATAAATACCTCTACCTCTCTAGCTATTAACTTGGAACAGTGATTTCAGTTTTATCCACTTATCAATCAATTCATGAATAATCCCCATCCAGGCATTAATGGAAACAAAACATGTAGTTCAGCGCAGTTTCTTTTTTCGGCGAATTCATTTTCTTAGCTGTATATATATGTGTACATTAAGTTTGTCAAACAGAAATACGTACAAATGGTTTTGGTTATTTTAAACTAAAAACACGTGAGAATAAGTAAGTTTAGGGTGGAGTTACGTATTATAAAATTGGTCAAGAAAATTGGGTGTTAATGAAACTACGGTAGTAACAGAGGTGATGAGTTGTCACAAACAAGTGTTAAAAAGGAGTTACGTAATAATACGAATAATTTGATGATTGAGTTGTACTCAGAGTGCACATAGAAACAAAGTGGAGAATACGAAATTACATAAGAGTTCTAAATGTATTCAGGAATTATTAGCATTTAAAGAAACAAGCAAACATTTATTGCCATGATAGTAGAAATGGTTGAGTAATTTCCTTTTGTATGCACAGCTTCGGTTTTTCTGTGTCAATGACAAGTGCTTCAGCAATACAAAGAAGACGAAACCGTATTGCCTTTGGTAGGTTATTGTTGACTCTGTAGATCAATTTGAAGGAGGCGTTTGTTAAAATGGAATGATCGGTGTTAACCAGGTATTCAATTGTCGCACTCCTTATCGCATCAGTATTGCCTTTTCGCAACCATGTTGGATAGTGTTCTTGAATCCTCTTTGACAGGTTGTGCGTTGAACGGTCGATGTACCTGGCTCCACAACAGCAGGTAAACTGATATATGCACAGATAAGTGGTCGGATGCGAGATCTTGTCCTTAAGGCTTCTGTATATCAGTGGGGGACTCGAGAGCACTATTCTTAGGGTTGCGATCCTTCTCTTGAGAATATCGCTTGTTAAATCTCCATTCAAATCCAAGTTCATGTAGAGTTTCTTTTTAGGCGCAAGTGAAGTTTCATTTCTTCGAATTCTTGGTTTGATATTTTTGTCAATGAATCTTGGTGGGTATCCATTTTGGGTGATTTCTTTCAAAAGATCTAATTCTGTTTCTAGAACATCGGGACTACAGATGCGTTGGATGCAGGTGTCAAGGGATTTAATTAGAATGGATCCCCAGCTATAGAAGTTTGTTAGTTGACCATTCCAAGTAGCTTTTCTATGGATCGGTCTTCTTAAGGTCCGATCAGTTCTTCTTGTTAGTTCCACATCAAGGGATGGGAATGTTTGATTCATTTTCGATTTCAAGGGTGAATTTTATTGCTAGATGGCTACAGTTAAATGTTTGCAGCAGTAGATTTGGGCTCATTACCGTTGTCACAAATAATCACTCTGTATCACCGCACAGTTTACTTCACACTGGCTGGCCATTTCTCGCTTGGCTAGCTAGTTATTTTTCTACCCACAATCATGTGACATACTGGTAAAAGGATAGACCAATCAGGACCAAGCATATTTGTGGCACATTTAAAAAGTACTCAACAAGGAAAGGGAAATACTGTTATTTTTACTAAAACACAAACATGGTACATCATGGCCACCAAGAGATGCGCCACACAAAATCTCATAGTTTGTGATAGGGCTGGGTTGCTGACCGGGCACCCAGATCAAAGCAAGGGGTTTGTCTCTAGGATCACCTTTGGAGACTTTGATTTGAATTCTGATCCACAAGGCAGTGAATCAACGCCTGGAGCTGCATTCCCATGATTTTCACTGACTAATCAGGTGTGTGAGCTATTCTATCCGTTCTAATTCTAGAGGTCATTCACACCTTGGGTTTGGAGTCATCTTTCTCAATCACCTCTGAGGAGACTAGCATGTCTACCACTCCCCTTGTAAGCTTCAGACGTTTGAATTCGCCTTTTACCTTTTGTGAGCAACATCTGTGCATGCGTGAAGGCACGGTACAGGACTTACATGAGAGAGGGGAGGCTATGAACGCGTGACCATTAGTGAGCATTTTGAGAGGTAAACCTGAAGTCTTCTCACCGTCTCAACTGTACCAGGTTGTTTATGGTGGCGTAAAAACAGTGAATTGATTGTTAGTTAGTCAAGCTGATTTCACAAGTTATTTAACAATCATCATCCACTTATTTTGTAACATTTCCTCTGTCGATAATATAATGCACTGTACATAAATTATATATGGTTTCCAACAAAATGTTGCATGTTATGAAGTGAGGTGTTACTTAACCATATTAATATATGTATAAAACTTGAGCACTATAGTAGTAAGTAATTCCATATTAGTTTGCTTATTAGATGTATCACACAGTAAAACAGTATTATTTACTGGATGACACAGTTTCGAACACAATTTATTACTGTTCATAATCATATCAATTGTAATCACACGACTTTGAAACTTGAGTTTTATAGTTTTCTTTGTCCTCTCCAATTTGTCGTAGGGGTAGTAGAATTTTCCGGATATCTGGGAGAGGTGTTGAATCGTTCCTGTTAAATGTATTTGCAGTTGATTCGATAAACAAAGCTTCTGTTATCATTCTCTCCCGCCACCCTGCTATGACATTGGATTTTAAAAACGTCATCCTATTGTGTGGTTGTGTGTAACTGCATGTAGTGAGTGCTACCTATTGCTGAACTATTCTGTAGATTTCCTATCTTATTTGAGTCAGCTAATCTAGATTTTGTTAAGTTTTTATGCTCGTCTGGTCTGACTGCTCCTGTTTTAATAGTTTGACGTATGTATTTTACCTGACAGTCATTGCAGTCAGGGTATTAGATAAACTAAATTGTTTTGTTTTAAAGGCTCCACAGGATTGATGCTTTAACCGACAAAGCTGGTGTCTAATTGAGTTTGTGGGTGGTTTGAATACCAGACACTTTTATTCCTGCCTTGTTAAGAATTCTGCATAAGGTGGTATCCGAGGTTCCTTCCTTGTATGGAATCACTACTGATGATTTAGATTCCTTATTGTTGATGTCGTCATTATCTTGCGCATATTTGACATGCATGTCGTCCTTAATATTATTATCATCACTATCACTACTATCATTATTTCATTTTTATTTTTACATTTCTCTACATACTTTCTGAATGATTTATCAGGGTAATTATTAGGTTTCAAGGCTTCTTTTATGTGTATCACTTCCTGTCTTAGATTTTCCTTGGTATTACTTAGTTTTTGTGCTCTGTCACTTAAACATTTCACCAATCCTATTTTTACTGACATACGATGGGATGAACGGAAGTCCAAATATCTGTTTGAATAAATGTGTGGGTTTCCTGTAAACAATAGTGAATCAACTGCAAATACATTTAACAGGAATGATTCAACACCTCTCCCAGACATCCAGAAAATTCTACTACCCCAAAGACGACAAATTGGAGAGGACAAAGAAAACTATAAAACTCACGTTTCGGAATTGTGATTATCATAAATATGATTATGAACCACGATAAATTTTGTTCGAAACTGTGTCATCCAATAAACAGTAATACTGTTTCACCGTGTGTCGGCAATGAACCGCATATATTGTACCGTAGGGGGAGCATAGTGGTGATACTGGCCAAAACCTACCCTAACCTCGGCAGGTGAAATAAAAGTCGAACCTATGACGAATTGGTTGGGAGTCAGGCGTCTAGGCCAGTAAGCCACAACTCCAAATTATACACTACAATTGTCAATTAATAAAAAAGTTTAATAACTTGCAGTTTGTATATTTAAATGTTGATACAATCTAATATAACCTTATCTTAAATTTTTGTTTTCTCATTCCAGAGCCTACACATAATAAACAAGATTTTGCAGATGCTAAAGAATATCGTCAATTAATGCGTGCAATGGCAGATCATTTAATGCAGTATTGGGATGATCTTGGCATCGATAAGGAATCAGATAGTTTAATACGATTTTGGAAAAGTTTTGGATATTTGTCAGCACGTTGGCGGGATCCACCCAGTATAGAGGATAAATATGCCCGTCGTCGTTGTTGTTCCGTTTCTATTTGTGTCCAATGTGGTAAGTAATTAATAAAGCTACCTTGTCATTTTAATGATTCCGTTTTTGTCATCATATCAATTGAGGGGTGATGATAATTATTATAATTTATTATTATTGCTCCCTTGGGTTCCTAGTGGAGCATAGAGCTTCAACTGCACGTCTCCACTTGCTTCTGTCTTCTACTGTACTTTTCACCTGCATCCATCCATGTTAGTCCATACTGTTTCAACTTCTCTTCACACGATCTCCTCCATATCACCCTTGCACTGACGACCAACTCACCGCTTCCCTTTCGGCCTGGTTCCACTCGAGAAATGGCCTAATGCGCGCGCGATGTCACCCAGCGGTCTCCTCAGCCAGTGTCCGATCCATCTCACTTTCTTCTGCATATTTGTTGGGCGATTGGTTCTCGTTTTGTGTGTTTGTTCCCATAGTTCCTTGTTGGTGATTCTTTCCGGCCAGTTCATCTGATCTTGAGTATAGATCCAGCGAAGACAGTTGTTGGTTGATAAATGTCTGTAACAGCTGTTGAAAATATTGTTTGTGACCCGCCCGCCAACAAGTTTCTGATCCTTATAGAAGAACTGACTGACTTGACGTTTGTGTTGAAAATCCGACAGAATTTTGTTGTTGATGCTGAGTGACGAAGATTGGCTATCCAGATTGGTTTCAGGTTGATGAATGTGTTTCTCGCTCGATTTGATATCCTCGTCCGTTCATCCTGTAGTTGAGACAATGCTCAATGCTAGATAAGTGAGTGAATGAATTAACCTCTTCCAAATCCCCCGTTGATGGTGATTAGCGCTGGATGTTGTCCTGTCTGTGTTCACCTGGATTCCTGTCTTTGGCTGCTTCTTCGACCAGTTTTGTATGCGCTCACTATCTACAATGTGTGCTAAAGCTACGAACAGACCTTTTTCATTCCTTGCTTAATCGTGCAGTTTTTTTTTCCTTTCACGTACCCCAGTGGAACACAGGGCTTCAACCTAGTGGCTTGAAGTTTCTGTAGCAGTGGTGTTTATTTTTACAGGACGGGGTTGCTAACCTGCCTCATGCCCAAGCTTTCTTCTTCTTTACCAACATTCTTTCTGGCCTAGCGAGCGAGGTAAAGGAGTGCCTCGTCGGTGTCCGGGGATCGAACCCTGGACCATGTGCATAATCATGCAGTATGATGTCAGATATCCGAAGATGAATACACCTTAGACTAAGATGGTTAGGACATGTGTTACGTATGCCAAGTCATCGCCTTCGTCGACGAGCAATGTTAGCGGATATAGGTCAGGCTGGAAAAACCTAGCGGTGGTCAAACCAAAACATGGCACCAGCCAATGAAACCTACATTAGTTAGTCTAAGCCACGTAGGAAGGTGTAGACTTCCTGGTTGGGGTCCTCAGGACGGTAAAAACCATTGGTTAGAAACAATTGGTGATATTGCTCAAAATCGTTCTCAATGACAGTGTATATGCATCCACTCCTTGTGATTTCCAATGAAACTATATTGTTCTTTGTTATTTGCTATTCCTTTGTCTCACACCTCTGTTTACTGTCTCTACTATGCATTTCTTCTACTTTCTTCTCTTGCTTTGTGTGCTACATAGAGTGTGGCAACTTGAACTGGTGCACATATATGCAAAGGTCTATGTCGAAAACAGACAGACATACACCTTAGTATACATCCTTGGTAACTAGCAGTCAAACCAATACATACACATAGATGAGTCGAAGTAGGTAGTTTATTCTTAATTCCTGAAAGTAAAATTGATGTGGTTGGAAGAAGAGGGATAGTGTACCTTTGCGGCGTTAAATGCATTCTGTAGCCGATGTGTTATTATTTCAATTGATATTATCACCAGTTGTATGAATAAGGGCTCCTATGAGACTGTTGTCATACTACTTGTTTGACACGAAATTCAAATTTTTATATCAATGAATTTACCATTATTTGACTGAGTATTTCTCTGATAAAATGATGTAAACATTCTATAGTTATCCCATATTTTTAAACCAATGATTGACTTTATCAGTTATTCTGGATGCATGTCGTTTGACAGCTAATTTATGTTATTGGTCTTATCACGGCTATATTGGTTAATATTTGTTTGGATGGAGGATTTCATCATGGGCTGACATCACTTAGAGAACCACTGGAAGACCTGTAGAGAGTACTGGACAGCTGTTTCTCTAGTCCTAGTCTGGGACTCTTCATCACTACGCACCCACTGGGGTTCGAACCCAGGACCTACCAAGAGTTGCTATACACATATTAGAGTAGAGCTATAGACGAGGATCCAATTGTAAAGTAAATATTTCGCTAGATCGTTTTCTCTTCTAAATGTTCATTTTATGTTAGTCTATACCATCTCTGACAATGGCGAAGTATATATGTCATCATACTGTGAGTCTACTTCGAAACTGTTCTCTGCGTTATCCTTATGGTACAACTAATATATGTATGACTATTGAAAATGGGAAATTCAAGGATATCACATTTCTTTTTCATCTTATTTGTCTTCTAATCATCTAATGCGTGTGTTAGCTTGGTTGCAAAGTCAGAATGTCCGACTGTAAGATTGATTACAAACTGACTTCAATTAGAGAGAGAAAGAACCATTGTAAAACAGGGAGTATTGGACACAACCATTTCCTCCTTGTTTGTTTGGGACTTCGGCAGTGAACACCCATGACCTGTCTAGATCGAACGCAGCAACTTTAAGTTACACGTATATTATTAGGCCACTGGGACGGAATCCAATGGACCATTAATTCTAACTTCTGCCAATTCGTGATATAAAACTCGACCACTAGCCAGTGTCACTGACGAGTATTGACCTTGACATTAGCTTGACACACCGCACTCTATTCATCACTTAGCAGAATTTCGGGTGACTTCATCCTAGTGTGAGTACTAGATTAACTTTCAGGGATTTAATTGAGTTCAAAATCGGTCTCGACAGATAATAGTCCCTTAACAGTTATGAAACAACTGTCTAGTAATATCCCCTGGTTTTCATTAAGTAGTTCTCTAACTGGCATCAGTTCGTGACCAATCTTGAAATCATTAAAATCCCTGAAGATAGTAGAATCAATCGACACGAATTTGAATCCACATTATTATTATTATTATTATTATTATTATTATTATTATTATTCAAGTTTAACATCTTAGTCGAACCTATTGGATATATCTTTGAATTGTCATCTGAATTGATAACAACCAGTGGTGTCCGACAGGGATGTCCACTTTCCCCATTTCTGTTTAACTTCATCATAGATATGCTAATGGAAGTATCCTTAACTGAACTTAACGACTTAGGAATCGACCTGTTACCAGGGAAATAGTCTTATGGACTTAAAATATGCAGATGACATAGTCCTGTTAGGGGAGGATGTGACAAAATGCAGAGTCTTCCGAACACCTTGAGCAGCAATCTTTGTATGTTTGGCATGCGATTCGCCCCTACAAAATGTAAGATGCTGCTACAGGACTGGACTACGTCAACTCCTAGCTTAGTGATAGGGAGTGAAGTGATAGAACATGTTGACCACTTCACCTATTTGGGAAGTTGTATTGGCACCAACGGGCTGATTGGCGACGAAATCTCAGCAAGGATCCAAAAAGCTCGAGCTGCTTTCGCTGACTTACACCACCTCTGGCGTAGGCGTGACATCCGACTATCAACCAAGGGACGCGTGTACTGCTCAGGAGTTCGCTCCGTCCTTCTCTAAGGCTCTGAAACATGGCCAATACGCGTTGAAGACATGAAAAGGTTGACTGTTTTCGATCATAGATGTCTGCGATCTCTTTCTCACGTCAGGTGGTCTAATAAGGTAAGTAATGTTGACGTTAGACGTAGGGTGTTGGGCAAAGAGGGAAAATCAATCGAAGAGGCGAGGAGGAGATGAAAGCATGTGGACAGACCTGGAGTGGGGTGAAAAAGTTGTCAGAAAACAAAGGCAATGGAGGTGCGCAGTGAAGCCCTATGTTCCTCTAGGAACTAAAGGATACAATAATAATAATAATAAAGTTACATAGATTGGGATGGCTAGGTGACGTGCTGCGCATGCCTAACCATCGCCTCCTCCGACGGGAATTACTAGCTGATATAGGTGCAGGTTGGAAAAGAGTAAGTGGTGGCCAAACAAAAGCATGGCCTCATCAATCCATGACATCCTTGACAGTTAAACTGAGTCAGGTAGGGAGATGCAGACTTCCGGGTTGGGGCCCTCGGGACTCTAGGAATCAATGGCTGGAGACAATAGGTGACATGGCTCAAAATCGTTGTCAATGGCTGGCGCAGATGTATTCAGTCTCTGTAATCTTTCATATTCCTTTCTACCATTACTCATTCTGTTTCACTCTTATACTTGTCAAACTCTATTGATTCTCTTCACTCATCTTCTTGTCTACCTTTGTGTGCTATTTGGAACGTGGCAACTCGAACTGGTGCACTTCGGTGCCAAGTTCTATACTGAATCCAGACAGATATATCCCTTTACGCCATAATACTTTATTTATTACTTTTGTCTATTCGTATTAGTGTCGTAATCCTTGTAAGCATCTCGTTGTTTGTTTGTCTTTTTAATTTCCAGATAAATGTCTAAAATGGAGAATACTTCCGTTCTCACAAAGTCTTGTCGGACGAGATGTCCCAGACAACTGGCAATGTCGAGATAATACGGATCATAAGCATAAAAAGTTTGTAGCTTTTATTATTATTACTATTATTTCTGTGCGCATTTTACCTGATTAAATTCATTTATTATCAAGTGGTCGTGCGCCAGGATTTGATGGGTTATGGGCTGACATCGAGTTAGAGAACCATTGAAGAACCTATGAGAGTACTGGACAGCCGGTTTTCCAACAATAGAGTTACTAGCTTTGTAACCAGAAGGTCCTAGGCTCGAACCCCGGTGGATACGTACAGATGAAGAGTCCCAAAATAGGATGAAACAGCTGTCCAGTACCCCCAGCTCTTCCAGTGATTCTCTAACTAATGTCAGCTCATGATGAAATCTTGTAACCAGTCAAATCCCTACAAACCAACACTTGCATCTTTTTTGTCTTAAACACCTGTACTGTCACTCCAAGCACACGATTTTCATCAGACCCAGATGTATAAAAATGTAGACAATCATGTGGAGAGAAATTTTGCAATGATATTCAGCTAATAGATTTCAGATTATGGGATTTATGAGGATTCGGAATCATTTCAATTGTTAGAATTTATGGGTCATTGATTTAGCGAACCATGTGACTAAATACTCTAGTCAAGGAGTGTTGTTTTGGTAACCTCCTAAAGCTCTAATGGGCTCGATTCCTGTTAGGGTTGTCGGTGCACATTGCTGAACAGAATTGCTAAACTAGAATGAAACAGCTGTTCATTGCTCTATTTCAGTGATCTCTCTAACGAATGTTACTTCCTGACGAAATCTAACAGTTTTAATTGATTTCAGTTAGCATCTATGCTCGAGATCTGATGCGTGTTTCCTATCTTAGCGCGCTATCATGGGCCACGTGCTTATTTATTACTTAATCTAGCAGTCAGTTGCAGACCGAATTAATTTAACCGTCTGACAATTGCAGTGTGAAATCTTCAGCATTCTCTATTGGTTTTCTCTGACACATTGGAATGTGACTCATTCATTTACTTTAACAGCTTGGTTAACAGCCAACTGGTCATAGGGTAGGGTGGTCCTCTTCTATTTACTTCAGTCTGGGCCACTGGGTATTATCATTAGCCGTCAAATGATAGGTGTAGTTGTTAGCCTTGTGTGTAAAAGATCTGTTCTAGGTGATTTTTTTTCCCTTCACGTCCCTCAGTGGAACATAGAGCTTCAAACTAGTGGCTTGAAGTTTATGTAGCAGTGGTGTTTATTTTTACAGGATGGGGTTACTAGCGAGCCTCATGCCCAAGCTTTCCTCTTTACCAGGATTATTTCTGGCTTAGCGAGCGAGGTAGGGAGTGCCTCGTCGGTGGCCGGGGATCGAACCCCGGACCATGTGCATGGTCGGCGAGCATCCTAACCGCTGTGCCACCGACGCACGTTCTGGGTGATTGAGTTTGCACACTTGTATTATATCGCATTTCTTTCTAGTCGAATTCATGTCTCAAATAGTATACATTGTCTTTGGTGTCTGTGTGTGTGTGTGTGTGTGTGTGTGCGTTACTGAACCGCTAGTTGCATGCTTTTTAATTTTAAGATGATTAAATACCAAGGTACACGTTTGTTGATGTAAGAGTTTCCTCATTTTTCATCAAGTTTTTTTGTCTTAAGGATATTCATTCATTCTTCTAAATTATTATTATATATTATTTCCATTATTATTCCCTTGAGTTCCGAGTTGAGCGTAAGGTTTCAACAACACTTCTCCGTTTCATCCTGTTCTCTGCAGTGCTCTCTCTTCCTGTCTGGCCTCAGAATTGCCTATGAGATTTCATCTATTCCTCACACAATCTCCTACATGTCCACCTCGGACACCACACTTGTCTTTTCCCATTCGGATTCCATTCGAGCGATAGTCTGGCGCGCGACGGTCTGCTCAGCGTGTATCCAACTGTATATGACATTGATGTTTGTTAGATCTCTGAGTTATATGTGGAACACAGTAGTTTTTATGTAACAGATTATGAGGTAAATTTATTGTGTGTGAGGCTGATGATGCTCTTCAATTGCGCAAGCTGGAAGCAAGATAGTAGAATTCAAGCCCTGGGCTCACCACTGGAAAGTCTTAAGTCCTTAAGCTAACGATCCATATGCCGACGTCAGTTGTTGGTCTGGATGAAAGACTTATTCTTCTAAGGTAATGTTATGGAACCCGAGAGTGGGTCAAAGTGTGTGTGACCTAAAGAAGGAAGGGTAAAAGCTTAGGGGGTAATCGTGGACTCAGTTAGAAAAGACTTCAGAGGACATAGTGAAATGTCTGTTAAAACCCTTTGTTTTAGCCGCAAGTCAAACGATGAATACTAATAAAAGTAGTAATAATGAATTTGTGGAAATTCGGTTGTAGTTTCACCTGTCATTGTAAGAAAAGGGCACAAACGGCGAAGAAAATTTTCTTTTCGATGATTCATTTTCATGAGCTGTACAATAGTAATTATAATTAACACAGAAATCTTTAGACCAATCAGATACCGGTAAACGTTGTCCTTGAAAATTGTACCACATAATGTAAGGTGTAAGAAGGGATGACTAATTGTAAGTTAGAAAGGAGACAGAAGTTGGCATGACCCGATAAGTGTGAGATAATGACTAATCAGTAAGCTGGTGTAGAATGGACAGGAACTAGTGGAAAGGCTATGAAGTAGTTTGGTATAAGATCTGTGTGAAAAAGCAGTTATTAATAAACAGTAATAGAGTGGTAGTAAAGTGTGGATGATAGGAATAGTGATAATAATAAAAGTATTAATAATAATAATAGTGAGCTTACATAATAAAGGAAAGAAGCAAAATTGTACTCTTTACTCTGGCCATGGTAGGGCCAGAGAATGTATGTATCGTTTTTGTATGCACAGGTCCAGTTTCAGGTCTCGAATAGCTAATGCTTCAGCTATGTACAGATATCGTATCCGAAGTCCTTTTGTACGATATTGAGGGACTCTGTGTACCACTGTGGGGGGGGGTGGTAGATGTCCGGAGATGACAAGGTGTTCAAGGATCGAGCTGTTGCTATTCTTCTTTTCTCTTCTGACCGGCTAACCAAGCTGGGCAGGATACGTTTGTGGACTTGACGTTGCGTACGGCTCCACACGAGCAAGTTAATTGATAAATACACATTGAAGTGGCCAAAAGCGGTATGTTGTCTTTAACGTTAGACTGGATTAACTGTCTGGAGGAAAATGTTATACGTAGAGTGGCTGTTGGGAATGTCTTCTTCAGACTTTTTGAAAGGCGGTTTCTGAGAATTTCCGCTGCGATGTCATCTTTGTGTTCATACTTTTCTCTATTGATTGGTTAGTATTGTAATTTGTCTTCCTATACTTTCGACGTATCACTATTCTGTGTAATAGATTCCTAATTGTATTACATTGATGAAAAGTATATATAGCTGGAGCATGACTGAATTTCAAGCACAATACTTTCACAGTTTTGTCATTAAAGGTTTAGCAGATTAAAGTGATATACATACTAATATGTTTTCAAGATAACTGATTTCAGTATTTTATCGTTTTGAGGAAATTTTCCTCCCCCGAGAAGTTTTTAAAAGTTTATTTTTTCATTCTTTGGCATAAACTCTTAAGATGTGAAGATCCCGAAGAAGATATGAGCCCACCAATGGGTGTTCTTAAGCGAAAAATTAAAACGAAAGAACAAAGACAAGCAGAACTTGAAAAACAAATCCGTAAAAAACAAGTAAGCATTGTTGTTTCAATGGTTTATTTGTTCTCTTTTTGTGTGTGTGTGAGAGAGCTAATATTTTGTGTTTTAAAAGAGAAAAAGATGTTGCCTATCCGTGTATGAATAGTTTTCATATGGTTAACCAATTGAGGTTTTTAACATGTTTTGAAATGAAGTTATATCCACTCACCATGTGTTCACCATCCTCATTTCTGAACGTGGCTTTAACTAATGAATATTTCGTTGTTGTTGAAATCTCTATTATTATCTAGGAGGAACTTGAACTAATTCAAGATCCTGATGATGAAAAAACTGATGATTCCAGTGCCACTTCTAGCCGTAGTAGTAGTCGGTTAAGTGGACCTACCAATGGTAAATCTCCACGTAAGCGGCCTCCTCCACCACCTCAACCTACTTCAAATCTTCCTAACAAAAAATCTACTCCTACTCCACCTCCTCCTCCGCCTCGCGCTATGACAGTTGCTGATAAGAAACGTCAAGCTGCTGGATTAGCCTCATCCAATGGTCCTTCATCTACAACAGCTGAAAAGCGTACTGGTTTACCGTTACCAACAATTAATCAACGACAACCACGTCCTGGTGGATTAGTCCCCAAAATACCACAGCGTAATTCAATTACCCCTAAAGTAAGTCAATAAAAATATGCCATGTTTATTTCCATTTGAGAAATTGATTTTCGTTGCTTCATTTAAAATGCATTTCATATTTGGTGAAAGGAGGGAAGGGGTACAAGTAATCATTTCATTTATGTGTAAATATGGTGCGTCGGTGGCACAGCGGTTAGGACTCTCACCGACCATGCACATGGTCCGGGGTTCGATCCCCGGCCACCGACGAGGCACTCCCCTACCTCGCTCGCTAAGCCAGAAATAATCCTGGTAAAGAGGAAAGCTTGGGCATGAGGCTCGCTAGTAACCCCATCCTGTAAAAATAAACACCACTGCTACATAAACTTCAAGCCACTAGTTTGAAGCTCTATGTTCCACTGGGAACGTGAAGGAAAACAAAAAAAAGTAGCTTAAGTCGATATTCTTCGAATAAGTGATGTCAGTTTGAAACACTAACTTCAACTAGTTGACCATGGGTTGAATATACTGTCTCAATGTCTTCTTTACTGTTCTCTTTTTTGGTATCCCTGAAATTGATTGCAAGAGACAGAAGCAAGCAGTGTATAGTGTAGTAAGGATAAAAGATAACTTTGGCGAGACAGCAAGTGTTAGTGTGTCACAACTATTGGAGTGTGTAATCATAGGATTATGTAACTCACTGACAAAGTGTTTAGCGACAACTGTGATCGACAACCGATTGTGTCACCGTTTTTTTATTCAATTTTGTCATTTGTGTACTGATATGAATCTGTGGGACTCGGTGGATGTCTCAGTAATTCAGCTTTTTTATCAGAAAGACTCAAGCGACAATACAGTATTGCCAACCCTTAACCAATTTCGGCGTATATATATATATATATATGACTTCGTGGTGAACACCAATGGTATAAATTTCTTGACAGACTATCTGAAAATTTACCTTAGAACCAGTCTGTAATTGAATTCCCGCTCAGTGGCTAAACGGTAATACATTCGCCACCTAACCCAACATTGGGTTTTGGATGAGGTTGATGTGAAGAGATACTCTTCAGAGTAAACAGAATAAAAATATTTACTGTTCATGACCTGGTGAGGTTGAGGAATTCGATCTTCCTCTCCAAATGGTGTCGTGTTGCCATGATTTTGTACATACACTATTTTGGCCGTTGGGGAAACCCTTGTGAACACTGCCTCACTGTCTTGTGCATCAGGTTTCAAGTCAAAGGAGGTTTACAGAGTGCCCTCTTATGGCAACCACCCATTTCGGTTTAGGTGTCCGGACACAATATTCCAGTTCTCGCACAAACTATGAGATTTTATGTGACTTGCCTCTTGGCATATAAAATCTACCAATGTTGTTATAATAACAATATATATTCATAAAGAAAATCAAAACAAGTGATGATTCAGCAAAGAGAGAATTGTATCATAGGTGTGAATGCATAAAATAATAATAATATGAAATGCAAGTAAGAACTAAAATGTTTGTGATTATAACCATAGTTATATGTCAAGTGGCAAAAAACAAATTAATATCATGTATAGAATAATTCATAGGATGGATAGAACTTGAAAAAGGGTGTGCAATTATAGGATTACTAGACAAATCGAATAAAACAAAAGCGTTACGTAATATTGTGTGAAATTTAATAGTATAGAATTTATCGTTGTAAAAAAGAATTGATTTAGAATGACAAGTGGAACAAGTGAAATAATACCGGGGACAGTTCAAAGTGAGAATAGTAATAGTAGTGACAGTTGACGTAATAAAGGAGAATACAAATTGAATAGACAAAATGAAAAAAAATGAAAAATTGGTAGAGCTAAAATGTGATTGGGGATCACCATACTTTAGCATAAAGGGATTAAGACCATGATAGTTGGGCGGGTTGAACGAACATTTTTTCTGTATACAGAGCTCTAACTTTTCTGTTTCGATAGTCCAAGTTTCAGCAATACAGATAAGTCGGGTACGTAGTGATTTGGGCAAATTACTCTGCCTTGTAGATGACTATAAAGGCGGAGGCTATAGAGACAACTGGGTGATCATTATCTATCGACCAGATGTTCAATGATCCCTCTTCTTATTGCTCCACTTCCACCTCTTTGTAACCATATATATTCATAACTTTATTTTTGTAGGTACGCAGAGTTACAACAGCGGAAGATGAAAGCAGCAATGAAGAGACTAGTGATGAAGAGGAAGATGACGAGGAAGAGAAGCGAAAGGAAAAGGAAGAAGTTAGCAGTAAGCAGACGACTACTCCGAAAACTAATCGTAACAAACAAATTACTCCTCCATCAAAAGTAAATAATTCTGTTGTTCCTTCAACGAGTAGTAGCTCAGTAAGTGATTTTATACCATTTTTCAGTTTTTCCCTAATTCAAAAGGCGATTTTTATCAGTGGTAGCCAATTATAAACACGTGTTGTGTCCCCATGCAAAGCCATCGCTTTCACCAACAGAGAGTGTTTTAGCTGAGATAGAATTATGTTTGCTCCAAAAGAGTTATGAGTAGTGGTCAAAACAAAAAAAACTGCCATCAGTCTCCATGATGGTTTTTTGACAGTTTGTTTTGGCCATTCCCTAGGAAGGCGTAGACTGACTGATTGGTTTCTACATACAAAGTGGTACCGATGTGCATCAGTTCGAGTCACTTCACTTCACTCAGCCCACAAAGCCAGAAAAGTAGAAGAAAAAAGTAAAAATAAACGCAAAATAGAGGCAAAATGAGCACTAATATCGTAGAACAATATAGTTTTATTAGGTATTATAAGTCACAAGGAGTGGATGCATCTGCGCCACTGATGATGATTTTGAGACATATCACCTATTGTCTCCAGTGTTCATTGGTTTTTGCCGTCCTGAGGACCCAAACCAGGAAGCTTGTCTACAACCCTCTGTGTGACCGGCTTCAACTAATTGTTGTGGATTTCATTGACCGATGAAGCCATGTTTTGATTTGACCACCTCTGACTCTTTTTGAACCTGATCGTCTTTCAGTCAGCTAACCTTTGCCTGTCGCGAAAGGCGATGACTAGGTATGCGTAACACATGTCCTAACCATCTCAGTCGATGTAGCTTCACAGCCTCCTCTATAGATTTTCCCTCATTACCTAGCACTCAACCGACGCCTAACCTCAGTATTGCTTACCCTATTATACCACTTAACATGGAAGATAGAACGCAGGCACTTATGATCAAAGACAGCTAGTCTTTTCATATCCTCTACTGTCAATGGCCATGCCTCACTCCCAGCCATAATGGGGGACGAAGTGGACTGATGAGCAGTACACACCCCTTGGTCGACAGCCAGCTAGCCGGATACTACGTCTACGCTTGAGACGGCGTAAACTGGCATATGCGACTGCCTGATTGGGTTCCTCAGGATACATAAGAACCCAATGTTTGAAGGTTATTGATGCTATGATAACTCAAAGTGTCGTTCTCAATGGCGTAGATGCATTTACTGATTGTGACCACCGACATACACACATTGAACCCTCATTGTTTCCTCTCCACGTAACTATTCTTTCTCCCGAACATTTCTGATCATAATAGTTCTTTTGAATCTCTTTTTTTATTTACCCTTTCCCTACCTTTGTGTGCCATACAGAGGAGTATAGTGGTGGTTGTCATACGTGGTTACTGAACCAGTCAGTCAGTCAGTCAGTCAACTACTGACAAAATGCGAAGTGATAAACTCACATTACTTGTCCTGTACACATCACTTTTAAGCTTCTTTTTGGTAACCAATCCCTCTATTCTCCGCATACCCTGTATTTTTCTATCCTGTAATTTACGCGGAAGAATGAACGACGAATTTCAAGTTATTCTATGGAAATCTTTTACCCGTTTTAATCTTTATTTCAACTGAGCTTAACTCTGTTCCAGCTAATCTAATTTCTCTTGCGTTTTTGTTTGTTTGTTAACGTCTGTTTAATATGCATTTCAAAAATAAAGGTCACTAAGTAAACTGTGTGGAATTAGTCAACTCATGATTGACCTTATGCATATCCATTACATATGATCACGAAAACAGGTTTCCGTAGATTTCACTGGCCAGATACTGTAGAGATCATCAGGTGGCCTACCAGGAAAAAATATTATTCATTATTATTATTGCTCCCTTGGGTTCCTAGTGCAACATAGGGCTTCAGCTGCACAACTCCACTTGCTTCTGTCTTCTTCTGTACTTTTCACCTGCATCCATCCATGTTAGTCCATACTGTTTCAACTTCTCTTCACACGATCTCCTCCATATCACCCTTGCACTGACGACCAACTCACCGCTTCCCTTTCGGCCTGGTTCCACTCGAGAAATGGCCTGATGCGCGTGCGATGTCACCCAGCGGTCTCCTCAGCCAGTGTCCGATCCATCTCCATTTTCTTCTGCATATTTGTTGGGCGATTGGTTCTCGTTTTGTGTGTTTGTTCCCATAGTTCCTTGTTGGTGATTCTTTCCGGCCAGTCCATCTGATCTTGAGTATAGATCCAGCGAAGACAGTTGTTGATTGATAAATGTCTGTAACAGGCTGTTGGTGGAAATATTCTTTGTGACCCGCCCGCCAAGTGTCTGATCCTTATAGAAGAACTGACTGACTTGACGTTTGTGTTGAAAATCCGACAGAATTTTGTTGTTGATGCTGAGTGACGAAGATTGGCTATCCAGATTGGTTTCAGGTTGATGAATGTGTTTCTCGCTCGCCTTCCCGATTCCCGCTCGATTTGATATCCTCGTCCGTCCCTCCTGTAGTTGAGACAATGCTCAATGCTAGATAAGTGAGTGAATGAAGTAACCTGTTTCAAATCCCTCCCGTTGATGGTGATTAGCGCTGGATGTTGCTGTTGTTGTTGTTGGTTGGTTATTTTCATAACCTTCGTCTTGTCTATGTTCACTCGGAGTCCTGTCTTCGCCGACTGCTTCTTCGACCAGTTTGTCGGTTTTCGCTTGTAAGTCTTCGATTTTGTGTGACATCAAACATAAATCATCCACGCGCAAAATCCAGGTCTTCTAGGTTCTTCACGTCAGTCTGGGGAAAGAATAAGCAACAAGGAATTCTGTAGCCAACCAACCAAGAACCTCTTTCCCATCAACTATACAGGAGAAACTGGTGATATTTATTTGAATGACATCATACGCCAGACAGATCGTCGAGTGTGACCCGAAGGGGCAGTGACAAGTTGGGCATACTTCCGAGGGTCACATGAAGAGGAGGATCGTTCGTGAAAAGCTTATGGTCAGTCATGGAACAGGCTAAAAATGACCGTAAAGTACACTGTGAAATATCGAATGTACTTCGAAAGCCGTGTGTTCCCCCCGAAATCATAAAGATGCATAATATTAGTCAAACACTAGTTTTCATCCACCACAATTTAGTCATTCAGCTAAGTAAAGAATATTCTTTAATGTTGTGAACTTTTCAACCGGTCAAAGGATGTAATTACATTAATTAAAGGTGTATTCATTGCTTAGTCTTCGGTTCATTTAAATATGTCAACTGCATTTATATTCACATTCTCATAATACAGTGTTTATCTCAATTTCTAGGATTCCTAAATATGAATGCTGAATTTCAAATCTAGATTGTTTTATTTCCTATAGTGCGTTGTTGGCACAGCGGTGGGAATGCTCGCCAATTACGCATGTGATCGCGGGTTCGATCCCCAACCACCGACGCACTCTTTTACCTCGTTTGCTGGGCCAGTGATAAGACTAATAAAAAGAGGAAAGGTTGAGCATGAGGCTAGAAACCCCATCCCTTAACAATAATCATCACGGCTATTGAAACCTCAAGCCTCTAGCTTTAAGCCACCCTACATTCTACTGGGAAGGTGAAAGAATAAAGTGATATTTGTTTTATATCCTATAAACTATATTGTGAAATTATTTAGCTGATTTGTCTTTTAAAATAGCACGCAAATATCATTCATGCAGTTATGCAATATTATTACCACTTGATAAGCTAGCTGAATCGTGTGATTCCACTGGAATTAATACTCCCGTGCTTATAGACATTTGTGAAATTTCATCGAGATTGAAATGAGTAATTCCAATGTTTCGTTCGGCAACCTAGTCCGAACTTCTTCAGGAAATTAATTGAAATTAACATAACACTAGTTTAAATATGATAGAGAAGATTTGTTGCTCAGGTGGATGAAGTTGTGTTCTCTGAACAGCTGTATAGTTAATTTGCGAAGTTTTCATCGCCCTACTAGATGACATCCTCAGCGTATACTTCAATTTGAAGTGACCACATCAATAACAGAAGTTTATATATAAAAGGAACATTGTAACAACAGAAGGCAAGGGCCAGGCAACAGATCGTTTATTAAGGAAATCAACACATATTTACAGATTTTCATGTACATATTATAGATGATTGTTAGCAGAAAAACAGTCTTCTGATTGGTTGTGTCTCACAGAAAGTTAACCTTGCATTTCTTTGTGACTGTTTCTTGAATGTCAGATCATCCACATGTTAACTGTATCCGCCTACGCAATGCCTTTGTTCTTATTTTTCTCACGACCAATATTGAGGACATAAACATTGACGTAAATTACTGTCCATCAATCTTGACTAACAGCCAGCTCTCACCACAACATCTTTTGTTTTTAAGAACTTTGTCCAATCGTGAGTCATAAAACAAGTATCAACAAGTATAATAAAGTATGAGCTGTGGTCAAAATTTGATCTCGGGCGTTGGAATTACTCATTTCAATCTCGCTGGGATTTTACAAATATAGTTTTTTACAAATGTCTACTTCTCACTCTACCTGCCGTACTTGTGTTGATGATTACGGCCAGTAGTATTTAGGCGCTGATGAAAGAAACTTCTCTTGTCGGTTGTTGTGGTAATTTAGAGGGAAAAACTAACAGATCATTGTAGGACCCTGATTCTCATTTATACTTTTGGAACATAGGAGGGTTTCAGACGTGATTCTGGATTACTGTCGGGTCAGAATCAAACTTTAACCACCCGTGTTTGGCTGGCAAGCAAATTCTGCCCTTGAATCACTTTATTTCAGACAATATGAGGACGTATGGTACAAATATTTTCAGCGTATTCACTTCCAGAATACTTTTTTCTTCATACATGATTAATATATAAAGTAATAATCTGAAGTATATCTTTATTTCATTGAAGAATTGTACAGCGTTTACATGGAAGCAAGTTAAATCAGTTCACAAGTTCATGTATAGGAGGTCATTTGATATGACTGGACGAATAAAATAATGCTAAATCCAGATGAAATAAAGCATTTTGGTGGAAAGCAACTCTGGTAGCCCAATGATTTAAGCAGACCGCCTTTTGTTATCACTTTTAACAAAATTTGGCATCTTGATTGGACACTAGTAACTACTGTCCTTTGGTACAAACTGAATTCTATCAGTCAGGTTTGCAATATGACCACTATTCTAGGTAGCTTGCCATCACAGCGCACATTGATTTGATAATATTAGATGGTTGGAGGCCGTTGAGACGAAGCCTTGAACGTAGGTTTGGTGCTAGTTGTCACTCACCAGTCAGCAAGGCATATCTGCAACCTTAAAGGAACCCATGTCCCTTTTGAGATTCGAACCCGCGTCATCCAGTGAAAACTGCAGTCAGAAACGTATCACTGAGCTGTTGTGGCTCTCGATTGACTTCTTGTAGGACTTCATTGGATACTTTGATTGGACACTAGTAAACAATGTGATGCGTCTAGTCTTTTCTTTGGTGCGGACTGAACTCACGGTTCCAGATACGCCTTGCTGACTGCATCACTGGGTGACGCCGGTCCGGAACTCAGAAGGGACATGAGTTTCTTCAAGGTTCCAGCTATGCCTTGGTGACGAGTGCCAACTGGCACGAAACCTAGGTCAAGCAAGGTTTCCGGCCGATTTCCTCCAACCATCATCTAATATCATCAGAATTTAGCATTATTTTTATGTACTGGTTTTCTGTAGTAGTATTATTGTCTGTATGTAGTTTAGTGTGCAGTTTATCGTTTAATTCATGTTTATAGATATTATCTTTTGATTAAATATAATATATATATATATATATATATATATATATATATATATATCAACACATTACTATCAATAATATATTACTGTCTACTAATTCTTTCGTGCCATCCACTCAGACAGTAGCGAGCACTTCTCAATCTCATGAAAAAACTACGTCGAAAAGCATTGATGAAGTAAATGGAAAGAAGAATATTAATATGGAAAAGAGTCCTGTACACGATGTAATTACAATGCACCATCGAAATAGGAATTCAACGGATCGTGATAATAACGGCGAGGTAACGTCGATCCCAACAAATAGGTAAATTATAAAAGAGAGAGCAAAAATAGTGAATATGATTTTTGTGTATATATTTTTTCCCAATCTTTAAAATGTGCCTCTACTTGTGAATTATGCTTTATTATATTTGTTGAATGAAACAGCAGCTTGTGGAGTAAGAATCGGAATCGGTATGGTGTTACTCAAAAACAACCACTTGCAATTCCATGCAGTCGGAAATGGGTCACATCGGTTTTGTTGAAACTAGTGATATACTTACTGTCATGGCAGAATATAAAAGAGAGTTGATAAGGGACTTTAAATAAAGAAAATACATCACATTTTCTCTACATTTTTAACAACATTAATATTCATTGGGATAATATCAAAATCTTAAACAGAGGAAACACCAAATGTGCCAGGGAATTCCTAGAAGCCTGGTACTCAAACGAAAATGCCATTAATAAACACGTTAATATAGATGAAATATTTGAACTAATAAAAAGCAAATCAGGTGACCAGAAAGTTTAAAATCCCAATCAATAGAAAACGGTCATTACATATGTGAAGATGGTTGGTCACCAGGAGACGCAATTGTATCATCATTCATGGAGATTTTAAATCATTTGACATCATGCTAAATACTGCGCTGAAGATGTCGTCCAGAAAGACGACGAAAGCTCCGCAACTAAACCAACCAGCTCATAGAACACTATTATATGCAAAACAATCACATTCAGTTAGGTCAGCGGATAATTAAATTGTTCTGACTGGTTGGCCGTTAGCCCGAGGTTAAACAATGAGACGATAAGTTGTCCAGTGAGATTACTTCATGTCCACAACGTAACTAGACCCAGATTTGAGGAGTAAACGACTCTACCTCTGCATCCATCAATTTAAAATGTTGGTTCCAATTTTGGCCGCTTGCTGTCAATCTGTTTCTGTGTCTACTACTTATAAATCTCGTCCGTCACACACGACACAGTACTACATGGCTACCCGAACTTCGGTAGTTGGAATGGCGCTCGGATGCGTAACTCACCAGTTAGAAAGTCAAGTGTCTAGATCAATTAGCCACAGCCACCACCCTATCGAATAGGACGAAACAGATCCATTTTATTTCAACTGATTGATGTGATCATTGATAGGAGTAACTATGCTTATATATACATTGAAAAATGTGCTAATTATGAGGGTTCTCAAGGGCTTGTGCTACAGCAGTATCGTTATGGTCCCTCAAGAGGCTGTAATGAGTGTGTTCTGTTCTCCTGAAAATTAATGTATTATAATTACCTGGTCCAATGGATGTATCATTGTGTGAGTCAGCTGGTTAATCCTGCCAGTAATCATATGGTTGTCACAGGGATTTTAAGCCATGCATGTCTAAGTACATACCCTTGAATGGTATAACTGTGAATGGCTAATTGAATCATCTGTGGCTCCTTAGATTATATGTATTTCATAGATAACTGCAGTGATTATAGAGCTGATAATTTTGAATAACATTAATGACCTCAGTTGGCCTTGTGTTGGTAATGGATCTTTCAAATGTCTGCCTTAGCAACTTGTCGGTAGGTGATCTGCCTACCATGGTATTAACGGTGAATCAGAGTTCGAATCAGGAGAGGGGGCCAGAGATATGACTACCACATCGAAGCACGTAAATTTTCCACTCTCGTCATGAGGAGAGGCAGTGACGAATACGGAATTCAACTGAGCCTCCGTAATCCAATGGAATGTAGTTCAAATCCTCTGATGAGGACCCATTCAGGAGTACGTGTGATGCCAACAACCGCATTAACCCCTGACTCTCAAAGTCATATACTGACGTTGTTTTGGTTTAAAAAAAAACTCGTAGTTGAAACTTGGCTGTGTGATCGCAGTTTTCGTTACGATCAGTAATTGTGTTGGGTTCTGCGTAGCTGTTATACAGCCTTTCATTCTCGTATCTGTGTAAATCTGGTGCTGGTGATGGAGTTGTTTGAGCTTGCCTTGCGCGCTCACTTTATTGGTATACTCCAAGATGTATCTGTCAAAATAGCCAGTAAAGAAAATAATTTCCTCAGACTAATTTCCTCAAAAGGATTTATTTCTCCTAATCATTGGATGTAACAAAAACTGATCGATATATTCGGGTCTAAACACCTCTACGAGTTTTCTCCTCCCATAACGAATCCGAACTGAATTAAACTCGATTTTGTCTGCTTCGTGTGCTTTTGAAAGTGTGTGGGAGGTTGTTACTTCACAGCTGCCCACACCGTGTAAGTTGATTGATTCTTCGGGTACCTGAAACAGAGGGAGGGTTAGTGTCGCGTGACCGCAGAGCCCAGGGAACAACTGCTTGAGGCCGGTCACACACAGCCTGTATGAACTGGTTTCTGGGATTGGTTCCGTATTAGTAAACTTACCGCCGGTTACGGACCACCGTAGGGTAAGTCAGGATGTACAATTTTTGGAGTCGACCTTTTCTAACTCCCCCTCCACTCTGGAGAGAGAGAGCATAGCTGGCTGGCATGCTGGTCATCTGAGGGAAACACCTCACTGCTGTTACACCCCTGTTCCCCAGCATAGTGTAAAAAAATTCTTACACTATGTCGGTGACTGCTTTTAGTCTAATCGCTATCCTAATAATCTTCCTGGCATGGTAGGACCTACAGGAACATTGGTTCCAGCCAATGTAGATTGTTGGGTCATTGCGATGTGCAAGCGGGACCACCACATCAAGGTAGCAGCTATCGGTCGAGAAACATCAAACTTCGTGCAAAAGTAAAACAGTTCAAGCTCTCACCCTTTTAGAAAGACAGAAAGAGGTAGAAAACAAAAAGAAACATAATGAATTTCAAGTGTTAGTTTGCAGGGTTTTAATTTAGTTGGTTACAGGATTTCATTATCATCTGATATCGGTTAGAGAACCATTGAAAAACCACCTCAGTCCTATTAGTTTGGGACTCATTAACAACATTCACTCAAGGGTTATGTGACATGAAATAGGGTGTTAATGGAGACACGTGTCTAAAATAAATTATTTAATAGGCTGAAAGAGTAGATGGGTGGTTGGTTAAGAAGATGTTACTAAGCTGTCATACAAAAATTCAAAGAAAGCAGTAGAACTTAGAATTATACCCTATGATAGAAGGAGGGGGCGATAAGTTTCATCTGTATGCCCAAATCAGGTTTTTCTATCCGGATCGCCTCCTCGGCAGTGCAAAGTACACGAAAGTGGACCGTTTTCGGGAGGTTTGTTTTGACTTTGTAGATGACTTTGAATGAATTCTTACTTATATTGAGTGACCATCGTTGAATATATGTTCAATTATAGCACTGATTCACTGTTACCTTTTCGTAGCCAAATGAGATTATGTTAAATGTGATAGTTTATCTTTAGAGTTATCGTAGAACAATAGGCGGTTTGATGTGATTTTAAGCAATAATTTATGCTTGAAATGTAATCCAGTTATGATTAACAGTCTCATCTGCATTCTGTGTGATGTTGCAACTAACCTTATCTAGTATGCAATCACGAGTGAAAACACTGACAGATTACAAGTTACGCATTTGTCACTTTGCTCTAAGTAGTTGAGCTGAACGAAAGAAGTGCAACTGTTATTGTGATGGACTGTTTTCACCTTGAAAAATATCACACTCTACCTATCATATGATTAACACTACTCACAAAAGGCTAAAATTGGTAACCACGACAGGAATTAATTACTTGTGACCTGTAATTTATGCGCTGACCAATAATAAATAACGTTGAGAATTTATGAAATATGTTATCATTCCATAGTACAAATACACACGTACCTTACGAGATAGGCAGACATGACATAGACATGCTAACATAATGCACTAAACAGTAATGCAACAAAGAAATAGGTAGTGACGTCTATTCTCTTTTCAGAGGCTTTCCGGGTCAAAATAAACTTCTCATCATAAGCTTTCTCGTATTGGGTGAAGAGCAATGACAGAATCCCCTATAATCGCCACAGATATCATACGCTAAACTTATATATTCAGCATCACTTAGCGTTTTCCAGGCTACTGCATTCCATCCTAATCTGTATATATATTAGGATCCATTGATTGGTTTAAGTGGTGGCCACCGTGTCACTGTGGTTCATTTTATTATAATAAAATTTGTCTTGATTTAATTAGTTGTCGACAAACGTCTTCATTCCATATTAGTTTGTTTATTAGATGTATCACACAGTGAGTGAAACAGTGTATTATTCACTGGATGACAGGGTTTCGAACACAATTTATTGTGGTTCATAATCATATCCGTGATAATCACACGACTTCGAAACTTGATTTTTATAGTTTTCTTTGTCCTCTCCTATTTGTCGTCGTTGGGATAGTAGAATTTTCCAGATATCTGCCTGGACAAGTGCTGAATCATTCCTATTACACGTATTCTCTCTCAGTTGATTCGATAAATAAAGCTTCTGTCATCAATCTCTCTCTCCACCCTGTGACATTATATTCTAAAACTGTCATCTTAGCCCGTCATCCTATTGTACGCTTGTGTGTAATAGCATGTAGTGAGTGCTATCTACGGCTGAACTATTCTCTAGATTTCTTATCTTATTCGGGTCAACTAATCTAGATTTTTGTGACAAATGTGCTAGGCTGAAATCGATTACAAAATATTGTAAAACGGGACACAATGGCGGCGATTAATCCTAATATTCTATTATGAATAATCTAGATTTTGATAGGTTTTTATGTTCGGCTAGTCTGACTGTCCCACTATTGTAGAACAGCACTCACTACATGCAATTACACACAACCATACAATAGGATGGGATAAGATGACAGTTTTAAAATCTGATGGCACAGGGTGGAGACAGCGATTGGATAACGGAAGCTTTGTTAATCGAATCAATTGCAAATACGTGTAATAGCAATGATTCAGCGCCTGTCTAGGCAGATGTCTGGAAAATTATACTAATACCTGTACGACCATTAGGAAAAAACAATGTTTTACACACATATATCAATCGTCTTCATTTTTTTCGAAAAGATCAACCCGGAGATATAATGTATCGGATAGTATTCACCCAACAGATTTATGACATTTTGGCCACACACGTACTGGTCATGCATATTTATATCTGTACGACAATAGAATACAAAGCATTACAATTCTTATCTATATAGGTCAAAATGTTTACAGGTCATGATCACACACTAGGGGTAGGGGGATGAGGTAAGAAAAAATCCAGGGTGACATCGGTTAGAGAACCATTGGAAAACCACCTGGACAGCTGTTTCGTCCCACTTGTTTGTGAATAATGAATGGCACTCACTGACTAGGTTCGAACCCAGGACCTACCGGTTAGGCTAGCAAGCTTTTAGATCATTAAGCCACTGGGGCCCGATTCAGTTGCTTATTAATTCCAACTTCTAGCTAACCACTTAGGAATGTGTTCTGTAGTTTTGACCTGCAGAGATTATTGAGTCTTTTTCACGTACTTGTGACCGCGCATGTATGTGAGTTGGTGAACAGCGTAGGATGTGACACTATCACTGAGATATTTCGCGTGCTTTTAGAACACTATTAATCTCTCTATGAAAATGAATCTACCTCTATGGTAATTTCTACTGAGTGCCGCTATGAATCTTGGGAGCAGACTGGAATAGTGGGGTTCTTAGTCCGACGCTTCTGTAGCTCATAGTGAGTTTCAGGGGGCTAGCTACTATCTAATAATATTTTAGTGAGGTTTCGTGTTGTTCTCCTCTGTACGTATGTTGCATGCATACGAACAAGCAGTTATCTAAGATGAGAGTATCAGGCAACTGGTTTGGGACTCTTTCGGACTACGTACCCACTCCGGTTCAACTTTAGGACCTTACGGTTACAAGGCGAACCCGAAGACATTTCAGCCAATGGGCCCCGACTAACTGACCCATGAATTCCAACTTCTTCAAATTTGTTCCACTGAATTCGAGTCCCAATAGGTGCGTAGTTGTGAGGTGTCCCAAACTAGTACTAAATAACTGTCCAGTACTCGCCGCTGGTTTTCCAATGTCTGTCGAACTGATATCACCTCGTGATTAGACATTGTGATCAGTCAAATCCCTGCAAACCTAAACTTGATAGTTATCTAACGCCTTTTTATACTGAAGTAGACACGAAACTATGGTGATTTAGATATTGTCCTGTTCAAGTGAATATCTTGTTTTATGTGTTGAAATTTTTTTTATCATCGCCCCTGATTCTGTCTTGGTAATCCAATTTTAGTAACAAGGTTCATTTTACCTACTATCATTTCCACCCCCCCTTTATTTTCTCACCTCATTCTGTTAACTCCGGATGTGATTTATTTTATTTATTTCGACTATACTGATCGCTTACAGCCTGTGGTAGGAAATCCTGATTTAATGGCACTGATCACATGCAGTGTTCCGGACATAACACGAGTTAAACGAATTTGCTGTTAGTGGTGAGAGGGAGTGGAATCATCTCAGAATAAGAAGAACGTGAAGGTCAACGAAACGATAATGTCGTTGGTCCACAGCGATATTCTGATTGTTGCTCTGACTGGCGTTCGGAATTATGGATTGATTTGATACGGATGGGTTGTCTGACATGGTTGCTTCTGTGTAGTCTCGTTACTTGATGTTTACTTTTAGAAGTCCAAGTGTAACCTATTGATATCTAGATTATGGAATTTGTGTGGGTTCGAATCAATTTCACTTATGCCAAGCCATTGGGTTTATACTTACTAGTCGCTTCACTGTGGGAATAAACGGACAGTCACATCATGCACTCATATGACACAGCTGACCACTACGCATGGTGGAGTTGTGGTGAAATGCTAACCTGTAAGGCAGTTAAATATCTCGTTGCTCATCTATCTAGTCGACAACCACCGCATTAGTTATTTCGGAGGTGACTGGTTCGACTCCGATCGCTTTGCATAAAGTCTCTCTTCGTCTCCTATCATCCAACATTACATGATTAACAGTCTATCGAATCAAGAGACTATCTCAAATAGGTTACACCGTCAATTGAACAGATGAGTAAATTAGAATTTATGGGCCATCGGATCGGGTGTCAGTGGCTCAACAGTCTACGAGCTCGCCTTGTAACTAGAAGGTCCTGGGTTCAAACCCCGGTGGGTGCGTTGCGATGAGGCGTTCCAAATGAGGACGTAACAGCTGAATCTCCAGAACTCTCAAGTGGTTTTCCAATGGTTCTTTAACTGATGTCAGCTCATGGTGAAGTCCTCCAACCAATCTAACTACTAATTGAGTAGCCGGTTTATGTATTGAATTAAATTATTTGCTAGTATTTTTTTAATACTTATTTCGCTAATTAAACTAGTTTTTATGAATGGTTTTACTTTTGTTTCTTTTTAATATGCAGAGATCCCGTGGTAAATCAGAATTCGGTTGCAGAAAAAACAACGGAGGTGAATTCCTCTTCAACAGTAGTAACCTCTTTACCCTCAGAAATGGTAAGACTGGTGTTTTTTGTATATTTGGCCCTAGTGACATATCTCATTTTCTTTCAATCCTCTGACGTGGCTTTCAGATGGCTACAGTTTTTCATTTTCTCGCCTGAGCTCCATGTCACTTCGCATCCGTGTCCGATAGGAGAAGTCTTGACGTATGATTTCACTCAACAGCCTTTCCAACGTGCATTCAGTCTGTTTCTGTTTCCTTCCTTGTTGCTTATCTTGTCTAGTCGGTCATCTTGCCTTCTGTATGGAGCCAGCGAAAACCACTGTTACTGAAAATCTCCAGTAGCCTATCGGCAATGCTTTTGGTCAGATGTGCGCCAAGTCTGTGGAGTTTAAAGATCGGCATCCTGTCCCTGATTCTAGGTGCAGTAGATTTGCACACTGATTTTGACGTCTTTCTTGTTTACCAATCCTGTCTTGCTTTGACATTCTTATTTGTGCCACCTGTGGGTAAAATGATTCTGTGTAGACAAGTGAACGAGATAACTTCTGGATTTCTCCCGTTGCTTATTATAGGTGCTGATTATTATGATCATTATTATTAGTTGATTCTCTTCATCTTTCTGTCTTCTCTATGTTCACTTGCAGTCCTGTCTTCTCCTCCTGCCTTTTCTACCAACTTGTTGTTATTTGCTTTTAGCATCTTCGAGTTTGTATGACTCTACATATAAATCATCCGCCAGATCGAGATCTTCTAAGGTCTTGTTATCGATCCAACGTATGCCTGTCTTTTCGCTGTACACAGTCGATTTTTATATATGAACCTGTTAACACCACAACTAAGAATGCCATAAGTGATAGCAGACAATAGTTTTGTCTTACTTTCGTTTTCACTTCAATAGCTCTGCTGAGTTTCCTGGTGTGAATCACATGACATGTGGCTTTACGCAGTGGCGGTACCGTAGCCAATGAAGTTTTATCTGAGGCGCGGTTATTACTGGTTGAAACCTACTCCCAGTACCTCGCACTGATGGCGTGAAATATTGTCGTCAGATGCAATTTTTCCAGGCTGTCAAAGGCCTATTGTGCGTCGGTGACACAGCGGTTAGGTTATGGGGTTCGATCCCCTGCCGACGCACACCCGATATCTATGGTCGGCCTGCAGAATTTGGGCCGACCAATATCACATGCTGAAAATTCCATACATGTACCAAAAAATACGGTGTGCATCAAGCTGTAATCAAAAATAAAAATAAAAAACAATAAATTATGTGGCTACTGAATGATGCACTGCATAATGTTGTTGAAGCTGCTTTATAGTTGTAACAACAACAATGCATATTTCTAATTTTAACGAAATGACTGACTTCTGAATCAGCACTTCTAATTAGCTGGCAGCTAATTATTATTATTATTATTGTTATGTAATTTCTGAGTACTTTTCTCAAAGATTTTTTCATTAAATGTTTCTTTACCATTACATTACGTCTAGTGTGTTCTTGTTTTGAATAAAGCAACAACAACCGTGGTTTGTGCGGAATAGGATGGTGACATCATTTTCACTTTGTTGGCTTCTCATCATCTCCTTACACCCTAAAAATTTGATAGGTTTACTAACCTACAGAACAACTTCAACCTACCTGCGATTTTCACATGATTTCAGTTGACAGAGAGTTGAAGTTTAAACTAAAAATCAATGTATTCATGAATGAAAGGAGTTGTGTAATAGGGATAAGAGGCTGAAGCCGAAGATTACGTAATCAAATCAAAGATATGCAGTTACCAGATGGGCACGGAAAGACTGCCAATTCCTTCTTTCTGAACAAACACACACACACATACACTGGGTTTTAGGTGTTTGATAGAGATGGCTTTAGCAGACTTTTGACAAGGAATGAATTATTTTGTTTACTGACAACCTTAATGGGTTTAGCAGTGTCCAACTAATACCCCGTATCAAGGAGATCCCTGACAATGACACTATTGTAAGCGTTTTTTTTTTCTGAGACATAGGCTTTTCGGCACATTTTCAACGAACCCAGGAGGTGCTCCTTACTGTCTTTTCTCCCAATCTAATTGCCTCCAATTTGCTGATCATGTTACTGAAAAGCCTACGTCTCAAGGGAGTGAGCGTTTTCAATAGTTCTGTTGGTAGACATCTGCTTGATACGAGTCATGAGGTGGACATTGCAAAACCGTTTACAATTAAAATCATTTGAAAGTCGAATAATTTATTCAGAGAAAGGGAATTATCAGTCTTTCGTTGCACTGGTAACTAGATATCTTTATTCCATCTTTCTGAGTATAAAGTATATAATTGTAATTTTCTGAGTACTGTTAATCAAGTCTGTAGTCTCCCAACCAACTGACATTATGTGACATATGCAAGTATGTTAATGTTGTTCTGTACATAAACTTAATAATGTCTTCAGGCTGTAGACAGCTGATGAAAAGCACAAACCACTATTTGTTCTTGCCTTATTCAAACGCCTAAAGAATAATAAATGCATGAAAATACCTCTCAGTAAAAGCGGTAACCTATCGAATCACGTATTGAAATAGTGAGCTTTACTTTCATCAAGGTTGACTGATAAATATACAAAAAGTGAGAATACCAGACATCATACAAGGCACATTTTAATTTCACTGTACAGTATTGAATTCATACTTTTCTGTTTTGACTTATTTAACATGTAATGTCGTGATCTGATCTTAGTCTCCACTGATATGAAATTTATAAAATTAATGCTATGCCGGGTAATGTAAAAATCATTCTGTCCTTCTCTATCATAACTTAGTTCGACGAGGTTTAAAAAAAATTGACAACGAGTGAGATTTTTTATTGAATGAATAACTATGCACCAACACTCAATAGAATTAACGGTGATTTAAAGTGTAAGGTTGAAATGTAGTCAGTAGTTGTCTAAGGCGTAATCACGAACTGATATCAAGAAAATGCCTGACAACGGTACTTACTATTCAGTAGTGTTATATACTCCCGTGAGATGTAGTCTTCCTGGTACGTGTTCTTGCTTGCTTCATATTCAAAAAAAGAGGAATACGTGGTGTTTAAGGTTCTGTTTTTAGTTATAATAAGACATTTATTGTTGTATTCTTTTCACATATAAATTCATTTATTTATTTTTGACAATTTTCTTTTTTTGTTTGCTTACTACTTATAGAATATTTCAATGAACAGAAAAATCCAAGAGAAATTCAAGTAAGCAACTTTTTCAATATTTTCTTTTTTTTACATTTCCCTATATTTTCACCTGTGTGTGTGTGTGTTGTGCTTCTGTGCAACAGTTCTAGTTACCACACTCCGTGTATAGCACACAGAGAAAGACAGAAGCTAAGGGAAATTCGAAAAAAAAGACATTAACAAGCAGAAAAATGAGGTAGGAAGAACAGTAACGTAGGAAAACAATAGAGTTTAATGGATATGATATATCACTAAAGAGCGAAGATATCTACACCTTTCAGAACGATTTCGAGGCATATCACTAGCAGTTCTATTTTCGGCTATTGGTTCTTAGAATCCTGAGGACCTTAACTAACCAGCCTGACTCACATTAACTGGTGAAAATTTCATCTACTAAGTTCCTTCAGAGTTGACTGAGATTGTGTTTCATAGTACATCTACCGACAACGTTTTGGTACTTGAGCAGTAGTAGTAGTAGTACCGTTTTGCATTTTTATTCGTTCGCACTCCAAGTGAAAGCATCAAAGATAGGACTTCAGGTTGAACATAGAGAAAACAGAGGTAACGAAGTTTCCTGGCCAAAACCACCAACAGCAACAACAACAACAGACCACAATCAGCATAAATGGCAGAAACCTGAAAGAAACAACCTCCTTCACCTACCTGGGAAGCATCGTTTCAACTACAGGCCAACGGAACTGACGAGCTTATCAAAGCAAGGATCGGTAAAGCAAGATAAGCTTTCATTACTCTCAAGTCTGTGTGGAAGTCAACAGCTAATCCAGATTTTCAACTCCAATGTGAAGTTAGTCAGTGCTACTCACTATAGGAATCATAAATTTGGCGCGTCGTAAAGAGCATCTCAAACAAACTTCAGACCTTCATTACCAGTTGTCTTAACTCAGTACTCAAAATCAGATGACCCGCCAGGAAAGATCAGCAACAGGGATCTCTGGGAGTAAACCAACCCAGCAGGAACCAATTGTGCAAGAAATGGGCAGAAAGAAATGCAGGTGGATTATCCATGCTCTGAGGAAACCATCAAGTGACATCACACGCCAAGCCATCGCTCGAGTGGAACCAGGCCGAAAGGGAAGCGGGGAGTTGGTCGTCAGTGCAAGGGTGACTTGGAGGAGGTCATGCATGTGAAGAGGAGATGTGTGGGCAGACTTGGAGTCAGGTGAAAACTCTAGAAGAGAACCGAGGACAATGGAGACGTTTGGCTGAAGCCCTATGTTCCTCTAGGAATTAAAGGAAATAATAATACTTCGAGTGGAACATAGAATTCAGGATTGAGTTTTTCTGTTTCAGTAGCATTATCGTCCCTTGATATTCCGAGTGGGACGTAGAGATTCAACGACACATCTCCACGTTGTTGTATTTTCTGTTGTCCTCTTCATCTTACGGGGTTGGGGTTGCTGCCAGCTTCACACTCAATGTTCCCTCTTTTTACTGGGCTTACTACAGGTTACGTGGGGTTTAGGAGTAAGTCAGTCGACCGTGAGTCGAACTGGGGTCTCGTTCATGGCTGGTGAACGTTTTACTTTTTTGAACCAGCTGTACACAGTGTAATGCACGAAAACAAGTAAGCATACTTATCAAAAGTATTCAGACGATGGAGGTTACTTTCAGATAGGGGGAGAGAGATAGAGAAAAGAACAAGGGAAAAACGCAATATTTTAGACCTTGATTATTGGTAATAAAGTCTCGAGCCAGTAATCTACATTATCTCCGAAACCCACCCAGGAAATCTTTACGTACCGATCACATGGGTTTGAAACGTTGTCACTTTCCTATAGTTTAATGAACAATCTATTCATTTTCCAACATCTTTAAGAAGATCCAGGAGTAAATTTTCTGGGCTTGATGCCATTGCCCATTGATGAATGCTAGGCTTTTCTTTCGGATCTTCGCTTTTCGTTTTGAGGTTAGGAGCACAGCAATTGGTGGTGATGTTAGATAACGGCATCATGAACCAGCAAAACAGCATTTCAATGGACTCTAAACAGCGTAATAGGTTTCTCTTTAGGGGTTGTCACTTGGTGTACCATCTGCATCACTGACTATCTAGGATAAGCTAGATCCACATCACACGCACGTTCTGTCCACCAGTCTTCATGGTCCTTACCAAGCAGTATGATCTTTTGTATGTATGTTGTTATACGGAGAAGTAACCTGACATGTTTCAAGACGTTGGAAGAAGCTCGCAAAAACCCAATCATTTTAGCGGAATGTTATTTTACGCCGTAAATAGATTTACTAGCAATTTTCTTGGCATCTGATATGTACAACCAGTGTTCGTCAATACTCTCGTAGGGATTAATAGCCAGTCTCAACTCTAGCTCCGTTCGGTACTTTGCAGAGGTAACAGTTCCTACCAGTTTACTTGATTCAACCTGTGGAAGACACTGTTCATGGCCATTATCATCACCAAAGAGCTGTATAAACTGGGCACTTACTGAGTCATGACCAGATTCAATAAGTGTTCCAGAAAGTACGACAGTCCTCTATGCTTCCGCACCATCGGTAGGATGTGATAGCCATGTGATCTGTGTTTGAGTGGCAGGGAGAGGACTCCAGATATCACGGTGTTGGCTGAAAAGTGGTTATGACCCATTGGTGCATAAAAACTGTGGTGGATAGAACTTTCTGGGCAGAAGCTGTGAAATGCACCACTACCACCACCGTGTAGGCATCTCGACAAGATGACTGAAGTCTATCCCCATCGTCAGTCATACCAGATCATTTATGAAAGGACTTTTATTCTTATGATTCATACATTTTACATTGGAATTTCTCAGGTTTTATTTTGCTGATTGTGTTTTCAATGTAGATTTAAACATTAAATAATTAGATAATATGCTTTATATTCATTTTCCCCTCATTATTCATTCATTCGTTCAAGGGTTTGTTTACGATATTTCTTACCACCGTCATGGTCAGTGGAAAAGGATAGAATCCATACACTAACAGAATCAGATCTTGCAAGCTTCCCTTTAGAAGATTTCTTTGATAGATATGAACAAGGTCTTCGAAATGTAAGTTTTCTGCATATTGATTGTCTGTTTTTTTTTCAAACTTCACCTTCAGATAGTAACGATTATGTAATTTACATCGTATATGAGAGTACTTTTATGCATTATGCGTAGAGTAGAGTAGCAGCATCTTATGCTTTATATGACTGTTTATTTTTGTTCACTTTTTGTTTTTACCCCTGTGGAATAGCTGTTAACCTCCTTCCAACAGGAAACTGCAGTAGTCACAGATCAATTAACAGAACTACGGTCCAATGTTTGTGAATTACTGAAGAAATATGATCCTGTAAGTGTTTAAATAATCATTGATTTTAATTACCTTTTCTTCTTATAATTTATTGTTATGTTATTGTAAAATTCCTAAACCACACACACCACAAAACATGGCCTGTAGTCATTCATTGCGATTCTTTATTCTTTTAAGTAATGCTGGCAACAGTAAATAATAAACACTGCAGTCAAATGACCTTGAATCAACCATCTAGATTCATCCATGTGTGGAAAGTGGCCTTAATTGTATAAAAATGTGTATTAAAAGGCATATATGTAATAAAAGTGAATTATACAGGGTATGTCCAGACCGATAGCTGCTACCTTGACGTGGTGATCGGGCTTGCACATCGCAATGACCCAACAAGCTGCACTGGCTGGAATCAATGTTTTTGCAGGTTCTATCATGCCAGGAAGGTTTTTAAGATAGCGATTAGACTAAAAGCAGTCACCGACATAGTGTAAGAATTTTTTTACACTATGCTGGGGAACAGGGGTGTAACAGCAGTGAGGTGTTTCCCTCAGATGACCAGCATGCCAGCCGGCTATGCTGTCTCTCTACAGAGTGGAGGGGGAGTTAGAAAAGGTCGACCCCAAAAATTGTACATCCTGACTTACCCTACGGTGGTCCGTAACCGGAGGTAAGTTTACTAATACGGAACCAATCCCAGAAACCAGTTCATACAGGCTGTGTGTGACCGGCCTCAAGCAGTTGTTCCCTGGGCTCTGCGGTCACGCGACACTAACCCTCCTTCTGTTTCAGGTACCTGAAGAATCAATCAACTTACACGGTGTGGGCAGCTGTGAAGTAACAACCGCCCACACACTTCCAAAAGCACACGAAGCCTTCCTGAGCATCATTCTCCTTTACTCACATCACCTTCCTCATTTTGCTTCTCTACTACAGTTAGTACTATTCTGCAGGCTAGTGAGTCATCTTCACTCTGTGACCACAAACAACGGTATGTATCTGTAATATGCTGCAAAATCCGGTCCTGGTTTCTCATAGAGGAGAGTGTCTCTACAGACATATCAAACTAACGTCAATAAAAAACATTCATATAAGTGACTACATATCATATCTTATCGGGAACCATATACCACTCTAATATGTTTTTTAGATGGACCCGTTAATAGAATTTGTACGTGTTCCACTTACTATGGTCAACAGTTCAGAAGAATGACTTTATGTAGAATTATAGCCTAATGATGGTTGTTGCAAATAACCTCTCCACTTGTCTGTATGATTGGTAATGCCTGGGAAGACTAGTCGCTGTATTCTTGGTATCAAAACACATCGGCACTGCTGTTTGGGATGGGTTCTACTAACCCTTATTTAAAATTTGTATCGCACAGTCCCAACAGTTCGCTTATCTCCTCCTACCGCAGGGATTCAGTTTACGTTTAATAAGCACTGTTCCGTCAATATTAACGACAACATCAATTCCTCCAAGTATAGAAGTTATTCTATTCCATCGATCTTTTGTGAGCCAGTACCTCGACAGTGTTGGTACCAATGCACTGTTGAGATTTTGATCTTCTCTGTTTCTCCAGCTGTGTAGCAGATACTGGTCGTCTCAGTAGCCGATTGTGGCCACATACACAATGTTTTGTTAAGACGGAGTTTCTGTGTAGTGAAGAAACAAACTAAAAACTCACCATAATGTACAACTTACCGACTGTTACAAACTTCCTGATATGAAACCTGAATGCATAGCTATCAATAACACGGCAATATTTCTGCAGTGTCATTATTCCTCCACACGTTTATGTTTTAGTCCTTCTTATCAACCCATTTTCTACACATAGTAGTCAAAGACCAAATCAAGGTGGAATTTGAGACAAAGATTACGAACAGCGCATCTATTTGTACTGTGCTGAGGTATCTGATTGGTTGTTTCAAGGTCATTTGGCTTTGATGCCCATTCTTTACTGTAACCGGTGTGTTCATGAATTTATTCTCTTTCCTAAACAATTCTGTTTCCACGGAGGATTTCATCATGAACTGATATCAGCTAGAGAACCACTGGGAAACCTCGGAATACTTGACAACTGTTCCGTCTTCGTTTGGGACTCTTCAGCAGTACGCATCCGGCGGGGTTCGAACCCAGGACCTGCTGAGGCAGTAACTCATCGAAGAAGACATTGCGAAATGGTCGCGCTATGTCGTGAATTCGCAGAAGTTAGAATTGAAGGATCATTGGCTTGGGTCCCAGTGGCTCAATGGTGTACAAGCTTGCCTTATAACTAAATGGTCCCGAGCTCAAATCCCGATGGGTGCGTACTGCTAATGAGTCCGAAACTAAGACGAAGCAGCTGACTATCCGGTACTCTCAGGTTTTCCAATGGTTCTATAGCTGATGTCAGCTCATGATGAAGTCCTTCATGCAATCAAACAAATAACCCTACAAAACCAATACTTAAAAATTGTTTCCTCTAGTATCACTACACTTCTATTCTCTTCTCTTTTATCTACTCTTGGTAGGCTTCACTGTTACACTTCCTTCTGAGTCCAAAGTTCTGGGTTGACTGATTCGTCAGTCACAATCAGACAACCGGAAACAATTTATTCTTCGTTTTTGTATTGTAACCAGTCCATAGGTGCTTGACTTGCCTGCCAGACTGTGGTTAACTGGCGGGTCTGTCTGTCTGTCTGGATTCAACATAGAACTTGGCACCGAAGTGCAGCAGTTCGAGTTGCCACGTTCCAAATAGCACACAGAGGTAGACAAGAAGATGAGTGAAGAGAATCAATAGAGTTTGACAAGTATAAGAGTGAAACAGAATGGGTAATGGTAGAAAGGAATATGAAAGATTACAGAGACTGAATACATCTGCGCCATTGACAACGATTTTGAGCCATGTCACCTATTGTCTCCAGCCATTGATTCCTAGAGTCCCGAGGGCCCCAACCCGGGAGTCTGCATCTCCCTACCTGACTCAGTTTAACTGTCAAGGATTTCATGGATTGATGCCATGTTTTTGTTTGGCCACCACTGGCTCTTTTCCAACCTGAACCTATATCAGCTAGCAATGCCCGTCGGGGGAGGCGGTGGTTAGGCATGCGCAGCACGTGACCTAGCCATCTTAGTCTATGTAACTTTATAGCCTCGTCGATTGATTTTCCCTCTTTGCCCAACACTCTACGCCTAACGTCAACATTACTTACCTTGTGAAACCACCTAACGTGAGACAGAGATCGCAGACATCTATGATCGAAAGCAGTCAACCTTTTCATGTCTTCAACGCGTATTGGCCATGTTTCAGAGCCATAGAGAAGGACGGAGCGAACTGATGAGCAGTACACACGTCCCTTGGTTGATAACCGGATGTCACGCCTACGCCAGAGATGGTGTAAGTCAGCGAAAGCAGCTCGAGCTTTTCGGATCCGTGCTGAGATTTCATCGCCAATCAGTCCGTTGGTGCTAATACAACTTCCCAAGTAGGTGAAGTGGTCAACATGTTCTATCACTTCACTCCCTATCACTAAGTTAGGGGTTGACGTCGTCCAGTCCTGTAGCAGCATCTTACATTTTGCAGGGGCGAATCGCATGCCAAACATACGAAGATTGCTGCTCAAGGTGTTCAGAAGACTCTGCATTTTGTCAGCATCCTCCCCTAACAGGACTATGTCATCTGCATATTCTAAGTCCATAAGATTATTCCCTGGTAACAAGTCGATTCCTAAGTCACTACGTTCAGTTAAGGATACTTCCATTAGCATATCTATGATGAAGTTAAACAGAAATGGGGAAAGTGGACATCCCTGTCGGACACCACTGGTTGTTACTAATTCAGATGACAATTCCCCATAAGCCCTTACACGACTACGTGAGTTTGAATAGAGTGCCTTGATTAGTGCAATGTACTTTCTTGGCACTCCCTTCACAGTCAGACATTGCCATAGTACCTTTCGATCCACGGAGTCGAAGGCCGCCTTCAAGTCAAGAAATATGACAATTGTTGGACGCCGAAAAGTGTGTCTATGTTCTAGAATCTGTCGAAGAGTGAAGATATGATCTATGCACCCTCTACCTGGTCTAAAGCCTGCTTGATTTTCCCTTGTCTGTTCCTCCCGAGTTCTGCTTAGTCTATGCATGATTACTGAGCCTAGGATTTTAGAGACTATGTTCGTTAGGCTGATCCCCCTATGATTATCACACGAGGACTTGTTTCCCTTCTTGAATATCGGTATAATAAGTGACTTACCCCAGTCTGATGGTACTGTCTCTGATTCCCAGACTTTGCCTAGTACCTCAGTTAATCTACAAACTAGTATGTCACCCCCATATTTAAACACCTCCGGAATAATTCCGTCGGGTCCTGCCGCTTTGCCTCGTTTCAAATTACTGATAGCTTTTGTAACCTCACCTACAGACGGCGGACCAGTGTCTATATCCCATTCGGGTACGTGGTGGATGGCGGGGAGGTTCAGTGTGGCTGTAGGCAAGTTAAATTGTTCCTCAAAGTGTTCTTTCCAGCGTTCAAGGCGTCTATCCTGAGAGCTAATTAAGGAGCCATTTTTCTCAGAAATAGTCTCACTTATGAATTGCCTTCTCCCACCCGATTCTGTGATGAGTCTAAAGAGTTGCCTAGTGTTGCCTATCGCCAATGCTTTTTCCATCTCTTTCGCCTTTGTCACCCACCACTGTTCACGGTCCTTGCGGAGACTTTTAGTAAGTTTCCTTTTGTGCAGCTTTCGCTCCTCATTGAATTCGGAGCTCGCCGGAATAAGTCTTCTAGCATCTATCAGTTCGGATGAGGCAGTCGAAATCCAGTGGTTTTTACTCACCTTTGGATTTGCCTTATTCACAGCTTTTACAGCTGTATCTATAGCTGACTGAATATTCTTCCAGGCTTCTCCAGGGTGAGCACAGCTGTCGAATTCAGATATGCGTTTAGCTAGTTCTTCCTCAAATAGGGATTTAGTTTCCTGATCGAGCTGGGGACGTGATGGTTTTACCGCCAGCTGTTTCCTACGTCCGTTCAGTCGTAAGCACACACGAGCCCGGACCAGTGCGTGATCGGTATCTACACACGTGTTCCAGAAGGAGCGACAATCTCCTACCGACCCACGCCAACGATAGCTTATTGCTATGTGGTCTATTTGTGTCCAGCGTTGGTTTGATGATGGGGGTCGCCAGGTTAAACAGTGTCTCTCCTTGTGTTTAAAGTTAGTGCTTACAAGAAACAAATGATTATCTGAACAGAACTGTAGGAGACGGTCACCGTTGTCGGTTCGCTGGCACGGAACTCCATAGGTGCCACCGACATCCTTCTCAGATTGACACAATTTCCCTACTTGAGCGTTAAAGTCACCAGCTAGAACGACTATATCTGAGCGTTTAGCCTTTCTCACCAAACTAGACAGCTTTTGGTAGAACTCATCCTTCGTTTCATCCGAACTGCAGTCAGTGGGGGCGTAGGCGGAGATTACGAAAAGGCATCGGCGAGTAGTGCAGTCCTTTCTCCTTCTTACTGATCCGTTCAGACGGACAGCACACATTCGGCTATCTACTGGGATCCAGTCAAGCAATGTCTTTTCTGCCCTAGTACTCAGAGCTATCCCTACGCCAGCTAATCCTCGTGAACTAGCTGTGGCATCTCCTGACACCCTCAAGGTGAATTTTGAAGATTCATCCTGTTGGCCAGGTGGGGTTAGGTGAATAACCACACTTGGGTCTTGTATGCGTGTTTCTGAAACACAACATACATCAATGGCTCGAGATGCCAGGGTCTTAGCTAGTGATGCTTGTTGTCCTATTTGGCAAAGTGTCCTAACATTAAATGCTCCTATATGAAATTGGTGGCGTGGCTTTAGGAGACTATCCGTGGTGGTTTTTTGGCTTTCGTCGTTTTTAGTGGACACAGAGTGAAGAGGGAGTGAGGAGCCATCAAGTAGAGGAGTTGCATCAGTGGGAGGAAGGCAAGGTAATGGAGATGAAGACAAAGATAAGTGAGGATTAGAGAGGTTTTGTGTGCATTTCGGATTGTGAGGGCGATTGTTACTTCCCGGCTGCCCACACCGTGGAAGTTGGTTGCGTGACCGCAGAGCCCAGGGGACAACTGCTTGAGGCCGGTCACACGCGGCCTGTTTTTGTTCGTTCTTTTTTGTTTGGTGTGCCTCAGTAGCATACTTATCACTCCCGCCCTGTGACACGGCAGCAGGAAGCGCGGTCGTTGTTAATCCGGGCCACGGCCGATCCGGCATGAAATTTTGTGAATTTGTATTGGACATGGTATTGGATTGGGTAGCTGCTTTTTGTTTAACCGCTATCCAAACAACCTGCCTGGCATGGTAGAACCTCAAGAGACATAAGTCTCAGCCAGTATAGCTTGATTAGGTCATTGCGGTGTTCAAGCCCGACCACCACGTCAAGGTAGCAGCTTTGGGTCGGGAACTGGCGGGTTGTCTTGTACTGGTATATGAAAGTTCGCTTCCAACCTACTGAGTCCTAGGAACTTAGTCTGCCAAGTTACAATTTCTCTAATTTTCGTATCAGAAATAATGAAGTGTATGCAACTTTAATGTGAGTGTGTAGAACTGGGGCACTATGGTGGGATATATAATTCCACATTGGATAAAGGTTCTTTCAACTATCACACAGTTGAGTAGTATTAACAACTGGATAACGTTTCGAGCACAATTTATTGTTTATAATCATGTCAGTTTACTCACACGGCTTCATGATTTGTTTATATATATATATATATATATATATATATATCCCCTTTTGTTTGTGATCACTTTTCATGTCGTTAGTATATGGGCGTTGTGTCATTTCCATTGCACGTGTGTGATGTTGGATTGATTAGCGAATCTTCAGTTAATAGCCTTTCTCTCTTTCCACCTAACTGTATCACTTTTTAGTTCTCTCACCCTGTCCCACCCACTTTATTGGGTGAGATTACATACAAGTGAATACAATGCATTGTAATGACCGAGCCTTTTTCTAGATTATTTAACTTAACATGGTCAATCATTCTAGGTCTAGCTAGCTAGCTAGTTAAATTTTTGCATTCCACTAATCGAATTGACTCTGATCTACTAGTTTGACCCATATAATTGATCTCACAGTCAGCATTATATTATTATATAATTCCATCACGTCCTCAGTGGAACATAGGGCTTCAAGCTGGAGGCTTGGAGTTTCTGGATGACAAGTGCAAAATCTACGTCCAGGGCTTCCTGCCGGTTGCCTACAATTACACTGCAATGATAAGTCACCTAGCATGGTGGTGACTGTCTTGACTGACCTGACATAATTCAATCTCTCCACCAAGAGAACAAGAACTCGATACCACTGACACACACACACACTGGTTACCAACTGGTGTGCAATTTTATTTATTTGATCATCAATTTCCAAAAAATAATGTTCTTTTCTCTATCCTTTTTTTATTGTGTAGGACTTCAAAGGACCCTTAACCAATATAGAAGAAGTGGATAATTATTTGAAAAATTTCCTTGCAAAAAGTTGAATTCCTCCGGTCATCACTAATAAAAAAAATAAAAAAACAAACTAGACCAACCAACCAATCAACCATTGGGCGAATGAATTAATTTTTTCCCTGTGCAAAAACGGAGTTTTCTCCTTTCCTCTCCTCTCCTGTACTCATGCGCGCAGCTGTTATACATAAATATACATATTATATATATATATAGTAATAATAATAGTTATTATCGTTATTATATATGCTCCTTTTATGGTTGACGTCTCACCGAATCTCTTTTGACACTCTCTGTTTGTGCATATTAATGTATTCCTTAAAGAACTGTCTATATATCCACGTGTTGTTACTTTACATATATATATATCTGTATACACAACACAGCAAAATAAGAACAAAAAATGAAGTATAATTGAATCAAGATATTTAGTTTCACCTTTTAGACTATTTATCTCTCTTTTTGTATGACAACCACAACATTTTCTGTATATGTCTATAGAAGTTGTTGATATGATAATTAATGACAATTATGTTTTGTATGTTTTTATTGTTTTTTTTCTCCATTACCCATCTACCTATCTTTGTTATTAAATAATTCATTAATTAACTGATCTTACCTGTCATTCCGTCTCTCTCTCTTGCATCCTTTATTCAACGCATGCTTTCCATGGTGTCATTTATCCACCCTATTTATTACACTGCTACTATAGGAGTGGTGCTGTTATCATCCCTTGGTATATATATCTCTCACCTTTCTCATGTTGCTGCATACATTGACCTTTCTTTTTACTCTTCACTCCTCTGCTCTGCTCCACTTGACTGATGGTAATCTGAGGTCTTCATATATACAGCAGAGAATTAGTTAGGGGTAGACATTGCTGATATTACTCATACTACTACTACGCCGACGACGACGACAACAACAACATTAATGACAACCTTGTCACTTCTGTACAGTCATCATTTTTTTTATTATAGTGATAAGTTACAAATCTCTTTATTTAATGTAAAATGTTATCCTAGTTCTTGTTTATTGAAGAGTTACTTATGATTATTGTTATTATTATGATTATTGTATGTTTTGTTGTGTATACCTGTGTGTGTGCGTGCGTGCGTGTTTACAACCAAGGTTAACATTTTTATACAATACATAAAAGGGGGATTAACTCCTTTTCTTTTTTCCCTGTAAATTAAACACTTTTAGCATTCATTATCTTTTTCCTATCTTTAACAAAAATGCAGTCGATTTCCGTTGCATTAGTAGTTCTAATAATATTGTAATATTTGTTGACTACTAATTAAATTAATTATCATAGGCCGACATCGGTTAGAGAATCATTGGGAAACCGCCTGAGAAAACTGTGTATAACTGTTTCGTCTCGCTAGTTTTATGAACGAACTCATTAACAGCCCCCTTGCCATAGTCTGAGGAAACCATCAAGTGAGTGACATCACACGCCAAACCATTACTCGAGTGGAACCTGGCTGAAAAGGAAGCGGAGAGTTGGTCGTCAATGCAAGGGTGACTTGGAGGAGGTCATGTATGTGAAGAGGAGATGTGTGGGCAGACTTAGAGCCAGGTGAAAACTCTAGTAGAGAACTGAACACAATGGAGACACGCAGCTGAAGCTCTGTGTTCCGCGAGGAGTTAAAGGAAATAATATCAGCACCCACCCACCGACACGGTTCGAACCCAGGACGTTCAGGTTACGGGGTACACAAGGCCAGCGAGCTCGTAACCATTAAGCCACTGGAAACTAGTTGGTGAATTTCAACTTCTACCAATTCGCAATATAGAGCGTTACTGCTAGCCAATTTCATCATTCGTGGCGAGTACATTTGTCCTCAAACCTGACCGGATGGATGTCACTGGTCACGTCTTCTCACTATAACCTACCTGAATAGAGCCAGTCGCTAGTGGTCATCAGATTGATACTTTAAGTGTTGGTTTGCAGGGTTCGGAAAATAGGGAGTACTGGACAACTGTTTCATCCTAGTTTGGGACTCATCGGAAGTATGCACGCATTGGAGTATGAACCCAGGACGTTTTGATTATAAGGCAAGCTCGTAGACCATTCAGCCACTGGAAGCGAAGACTTCAGCATTATTTCCTATTCCCTTGGGTTCTGGGTGGAAGATGAGGGTTTATGTAGGATATCTCCATTTCATCTTGTTCGCCTTAGTTCATTTTTGTAACCGGTTGCTGCACGATTGACCATAAACTTTGATTTCTTTTCCACATGCATGATCTCCTCTATGTCAATCCTGTATTGAAGTCCAACTCCTTCCCCATCGGTATTTCACTCGATGGATTGCCTGGTGGATGATGACGTTATTTGACAACGGTCTTCTCAGTGTGTGTGTGTCCAATCTATCTATCTCCATATTTGTTGTGTGATAGGTTCGTTACCAGAGTTCCCGCTTAAGATCAGTACGTACATACGTGGGTACAACATGACACTCATGAAGTCTCTTTTAGTCTTACAATACTCCGTTGAAATTTATTGATCTTTAAGCCTCCTACTCACTTCATTGAATGATGCTGCCAAGATTCACTATTAATAAGAAAGTGTAAATACTTGAGAATTTAAACCCATTCTACTGTGAATAACGTGGATTGAGGAAGCAGAATTTGCATAGCTAAATAGTGGTGTCTGAGTTTCGGCAATAATTTAAATAGTAATGTGGCATATATATATATTGAGAATTAATGTTTGTATACGCTGTTGGTGTCCTCAGCTGTACAGCGTATTTCAATATTCGCTAATTTCAATCTCGGTTACACTTTGATTCAGAAAATGAAACCATTCATAACACAGTTTGAGGTGGAATTATATTGTAACGACAGAAGACCAAGAGGCAGGGAACAGGTTGTTCATTCAGAAAATCAAGATGTATCTACAGATTTTTACGTACATTATTGTCAGTGGAGAAGCAACGTCTCCTGATTGGTTGTTTTTCTTCCTGAAGGTTATTCTGTTATCACTTTGTGACCGTTTCTCAGAAAGTTAAGTCATATATCCGCAAATCATGTTTCCACACGTCATGACCGCTGTGATAGGCTGGTGATTTTCTCAAGATTAAGTATTGCTATTGTTTTTATTTTCATGACCCTGACTCGGGATGTTGATAATGACGCAAATTGTTATCAACAATTTTTACTTGCAGGCAGTTCTTACCACAATATATCTGAACAAAGGCTTCCCGCAGATATTTACTGTACCTTAAGACCGAATTAATTATTTGAAGTCAATTCATGATGGGATTTCATCATTGGTCCTTTTTGAAAATCAAAAATAGCTACCTGAGTAGCAAGTACTATATATATATATATATATATATATATATATATATATATATATATCGCAATTTGCAGTTGTTTTAAATCCCGGTATGTTCACTACGCGTTAGCTATATCAGCATAATGTTATCAGTTAAAAGTTTGTAGATGCAAATTCATGAAATGGGAAAATTCGCAACAATTTGCGTTGAAAGTGCTCAGTGAGCATCTGAAGTACAGCACAAGGCTCAGTGAAGCGAGAATTTTTTGGTACTTGTTTCTCGAAGGCATAGGGAGAAACCAGTATCCCAGGTCCTTTTGAAAGTCTTTACGACGTAGCGCAGTTCGCCCGAATAGTAAGACACTCAAGTGCCACACATTGAACCAAATTGACTCATTTGAATCATGTATCACGGAATTGTCAAGAACGTCACCGAAATGTCCTATGCTGTGGATGAGCCACCGGAGAGCGCTTGAAGAAACCGTTACTGGATTACGTGAATGAGGTTTTTGGCAAGAAAAATGAAAAGAAACGCGCCAAACTAAATTCGCTTATTGACCAAGAAACACAGGGAAGCCGTGGATATGTTGCGAAACAATGAGAATATAATAATTTCGAAACCTGATAAAGGCTCTTGAGTGATAATAATGAATAAAACAGAATACATACATAAGATGAATGAAATACTCAGTGATCACCAAAAATTTCATCTTCTATTGATCCGACAGAATAGGTTGAGAAACAATTAATTGAGTCACTAAGATGACTTAAACAACAAAGTAGCATCATAGAGAGTTTATATTAATCTCCAAAAACCTACTGGCACGATTACACCAAGATTATATTGATTACCAAAAGTGCATAAAAATGGTTTGCCACTTCGACTATTTTTGAATATGTGTCATTCCCCATATCACGCAACAGCAAAATGGTTAGTGAAGCTCCTGAAACCTTTGCATAATGAATTAGTAAACCATGGTGTAAACGATAGTTTTGAATTCGTCAAATAAATAAATAAAAGATCTTAATATGAATGACAAGTTTATGATGTCTTTTGATGTATCCTCCTTGTTCGCTAATGTACCGTTAATGGAGACAGTGGATTTTATATGTGATGAGTTTACTACGTGAAACATAAACAATGGCATTTCTGTATCTTCCTTGAAGGAACTTATTTTAAAATGTACAATGAATGTTCATTTCTAATTCAATAAGGAATATTACAGACAAATTGAGCGTCGGTGGTATGGCGGTTAGGACGCTCGCCGACCATGCATATGGTCCGGGGTTCGATCCCCGACCGGTGCACTCCTTTACCTCACCGAGCCAGAAATAATGCTGGTAAAGAGGAAAGATTGGGCATGAGGCTAGCAACCCCATCCTGTAAAAATTAAACACTGCTACATAAACTTCAAGCCACTAGCTTGGAGCCCTATGTTCCACTGGGAACGTGAAGGAAAAATTATTTATTATTACAGACAAATTGATGGTGTAGCTATGGGTTCCCCATTAGGACCAATCGTAGCTGATTTTTCCCCCGCTAAGTTCGACGATGGACTACTGAAAGGAGCAGTGAATGACTTGGATATCTACTGTCAATATATGGATAATACATTTTTGGTTATAAAAAACGAGAATGATGCAATGAACATCCTTGTTTAATGATGCCTATTCAGCAATAAACTTAACCAAAGAGAAAGGAAGCAATGACATCATCTCATTCCTAGACGTTTTCATGGCAAGGAAAGA